TAGTTTTCTATAATATCAACACTCCCACTAGAAAACTACAACTATCAACAAAAAATAATTTTAAATTTAAATAAAGTAAAATTAACGCTTCTTGAGTCCCATTTCCTTCAGGTGCTTTTCATGCAGTTCCAGAGGTAATGCTTTGGTCATCACATCAGCTGTCATTTCCTTCGAAGCAATGTGTTGAACTTGTATGGCCTTTTCTTGAATTTGCTCACGAAGGAAATGATGTCTCACATCTATGTGCTTTGTCCTTGCTCTGTATCCTCCCACTCGACTCAGATCCACTGCGCTTTTATTGTCACATTTCAGAATAGGTCCTTCGTCATCGACTTCAGGCATTAATTCATTTAGAAGGCCCTGTAACCAAATAGCTTCTTGCGCCGCTGCACTTAGAGCCATGTATTCTGCTTCAGTTGTGGATAAAGCAATGGTGGGTTGTTTCTTGCTATTCCATGATACAGGGGCCCCTTGGAATGTAAAGACATATCCTGTGGTTGACCGTCTCTCATCTTCATCACCTGCCCAGTCTGCGTCACAAAAACCTGCAAGTTTTCCATTCTCTGTCCTTGTAAAACAGAGTCTGAAGTCCTTTGTGCCTTGGATGTATCGAAGGACTCGTTTCACAGCTGACCAGTGAGCAGAGCCTGGATTATTGTTAAATCGGCTCAATAACGCTAGAGAATATGCCAGGTCCGGACGCGTACCCTGACATGCATACATCAATGACCCAACTGCCTCTTGATATGGTACATTCTCCATGTTTTGAACCTCGTTCGTGGATTTGGGGCACATTTCTTTCGTTAGCTTCTCGGATGGACTTAACGGAGTTTTAGTCGGATTGCAGTTTGCCATGTTGAATTTTGATAAAACCTCTTCTAAATATTTTGATTGGTCCAACCATAATTTGCCCTCTTTTCTGTCTCTTGTTACCCGAATTCCCAGGATATACTGTAATTCTCCCAAATCTTTCATTTTGAATCTGCTTTCCAATTCTTTCTTCAATTCATTTTTCATTTTTGAATCGTTGCCCAAAATGAGTAAATCATCTACATAGACTGCGACAATGACAATCTTATTATCCTTGCAAAGATAATATATGCACTCATCTCGTTTTGATTGATTTAGCCCAATTTCTATAAACGCTTGATGTAACTTCAAATTCCATTGTCTTCCAGCTTGCTTCAAACCATACATTGCCTTGTTTAATTTGCAAACTTTATTTTCTTGGCCTCTAACTTCAAATAATTCAGGCTGCTGAATAAAAATGTCATCGTTAAGATCTCCTTGCAAGAACGCAGTCACTGCGTCCATATGATCAATGTCAAAGTCATACTTGACTGCAAGGCCTAAGATCAATCTAATCGAATTGTATCGTACCACAGGTGAATAGGTTTCTTGATAATCTATCCCCTTACGTTGACAACAACCTTTCACTACAAGTCTGGCTTTAAATCGATCTATGTTCCCGTCTTGATCTAATTTTGTTTTAAATACCCATTTGCTGTCAATCACTTTAGCATTGGTTGGCAAATCTGTGAGAGTCCATGTTTTGTTTTCAATGAGTGCATCGTATTCAACTTGCATTGCTTCAAGCCATCTTGTACACTCAGGACTCGAAACAGCTTCTTCAACATTTTTGGGCTCCCTCGTCAACGACTGAACATGGTAGCAAATATATTCAGAAAATTCCTTTGCTTTTCTTTCCCTACGTGATTTTCTTATAGCGGGTTCTTCTCTTTCGGTGTTTTCGACTTGCTCAACATCATCATTGGTTTCAATTTCATGGACATTACATTCAACCTGAATTTCTTCAATTTCTTGTTCATCAATTTCGTCTGCTTGAGTTTCTTCGATCTCACACTCTTCACTTTCTTCGGTATGATCATGGAGGTTCGTTTCATCGGTGATTGGGTAAAACAACCAATCATTGTTTTCACATTGCGATGCCTTTGGAAGTTCTTTTTCAAAAAATACAACATCTCTAGCCTCCACAATTTTCTGTTTTCTTATGTGATAGAGCCAGTAGCCTTTCGAACCATTTGCATAGCCCACATGAATGCATTCTTCTGACTTCGGGTCCAATTTTCTGCGTTGTTGTTTAGGCACGTGAACAAATGCCCTACAACCAAACACTTTTAAATAGGATAGATCAGGTTTCTTACCTGTGTAAGCTTCATTTGGTGTGACGTCTTTCAATGTTCTTGTCGGTGCTCTGTTGATCAAGTGGACAGCTGTATTTACGGCTTCTGCCCAAAACCTTTTCTTCAAATTGGCACCAATTAATAAGCAACGCGTTTTTTCTATGATGGTGCGGTTCATCCGCTCTGCAACTCCATTTTGTTCGGGCGTATGTGGAATCGTTGTTTGGTGACAAATACCAGACAATTTCAGCAGCTTGAGCAACCTGTTGTTGACATATTCAGTTCCATTGTCAGTCCTCAGAGTCTTGATTCTATTTCCCGTCTGATTCTCTACCATATTCTTGAATTCTTGGAAAACATCGTGTACTTCTGATTTGTTTCTTAGGAAGTAAACAAATACTTTGTGGGTGAAGTCGTCCACAAAAGTGAGAAAGTATTTTGATCCTCCCAATGAATTTTCCTCCATAGGACCACATAGGTCTGAATGGATTAGTTCCAAGGGTCGGCTTGAGTTCTTGACATGTGGCTTAAATGGTAGACGGTGTTGTTTGCCCTGCACACATACCTCGCAAGGTTCACTCAGCGAATTTTTGAAATTCGTTCCCGTAACGACCCCGTTTTTCATTCGGTTCATGCTGTCCGTTGACGGATGGCCTAGTCTGCTATGCCATAGATGTATATTGTCAGCAACCGATACTGAGTTAGCACCGTGCACCTTATTTTTCGGTCGATCCAGTTTGTACATGCCATTCTTCAGTGTGGCACTGGCGATGAGGGCGTTGCTTTTGTCGTATATACTGCATTTACTGCTCTCAAAGTACACCTTGTGCCCCTTATTGGTTATTTTACTCACAGACAGCAAGTTTGTTGTCAAATCTGGCACAAACATAACCTCTTTTACGTTTATTTTGTCAGGTGTACCACCTGTACAAACGTCCAAATTTACCTCCCCCACTGCATCGACATTTAGACGATTTTTATTGGCTACTATAATTTCCTGCGTGGATGAAGGAGGTTTGCTTGCGGATGTCAGCCATGTTTTGTCGTTCGTTAGATGGACCGATGCGCCGGAGTCGATATACCATTCATTTTTTTCAACATGATCGTTTCCGGTTGACAAGACTGTTAAGAAGGATTTCGCTTCCTTCGTGTTGGAAGATTTGCCATTTTCTCTCTGCAGGCGAGCCTTTCGTTTAAAACAATTCTTCCCGAGATGACCAATTTTATTACATTCAAAACACCGTGGCCCATTTTTAGTATAGTTCTTCTTTTCGGCGTGGTTTCCGAAGAACGCTACTCCATTTTTGTTTGAACTGCTTGTATCGACCTTGACCTCTTGTAATAGTTTCACCTTGATCGAGTCACTGGTAATGGCGATACCGGAGCTTTCTAGTCCCATTATCATTGGGCGATAATGGTCTGGCAATCCAGCAAGTAATAACGTCCCGAGCCATTCATCACTTACAACAAAACCAATATTCGTCAATTTATGTCCTGTTGAAATAATCTTGTTAACGTACTCTTCTACGGAATCACAATTTTCCAACTGAGTTTTATCGTCGAAGGCCTTGATTAAATTTTCCCATGCCTCTTTCGCTGTCTTCGCATTTTGCACGTGGACATAGTTTATGGGGTGTATCGACAGGATTATTTTGGCCTTAGCCTTTGCAACTTGTTTTGCCGTAGTGTTCGTACCCTCAACACATTCCCACAACTCTTCATGCTCCAAATATGTTTGCATTGCGAATTTCCATGAGTTGAAGTTTTCGCGCCCTAGTAGTTTTTCGATCGGTGGTAGCGTGGACGCTGCCATTTTGTTGCCGGAACACAAAAGTTTTTATCACTGAGATATATCGGATTCACCTTATTTTTACACGCGGCCAAACAATCAGCAGTACCCTGGGCCCATAACCTGTAGCAAGGTTTTGCTTTATCCAGTGGAATTGATTGTTTGGAAATTATAGGTGAATAAAACTAAACGAAACGATTGAAATGTGTATTGCAACAACGTGGTACATCAACTGAACTTACTGTGTCAAGTGCGCACATGCGCAAGCTTATGTCGGTAATACAGTTAGCAAAAGGGTAGTTTTCTATAATATCAACACTTATAAATCCTGATAAACTAAGAGTAAGTATTGTCTTCCCTTTTATTTTGAAAAAACGAGCTAAATTTTCATTGATAAAATTCGGCCATAATACTATATCTTTAGATTTATCGTTAAATGTATCACTTACGATTTGTTTTGCCTCGTCTTTAATCATGTTTTTCACACTTTTCAAAAAACTTCATTTTTATCAGTTGAGTTATTTGAAGTTGAAGTAGAAGGTTGAGGTGTAAAAAAACTTGTGACTTTTCGACATTTTGCTAGTTCCTCTTCATGTTGAAGCTGAAGTTTCCTCTTTTGGCTTCCACTGAGATATTTGCACTCAGACATTTTATTTAATCAAATACTTAATGAATAAGTTGTTTTATTAATACTTAACAAAACGAAAATAATTATCTAAATACCTCAAACACTGTTGATTCCAAAAATGATAATATATAATTCGACGCAAACTGAATTATGGAATTTTTAATTTTTAACACACTGTAATATTCGCAGAGTAGTATTAAAAACGTATGCGTTTATTTTGGAATCTAGCAATAACTGATAGATGTACTCGTATGTTGTATTGCATTGAAAATAGCTCAGGGTTCCGTTATTATAATACTCAGACTCACCCTGTATATTTAAAATACATTTATGAGTTTAGGTCTAAAATTAAAAAAAAAAGATAAACATCAAATTATCACTCAATGTTTGAATTGTGTTTCCACACCGGACCTCATGTTGCGCAACATTGCATAAACTTAACGATTGGATGCCTGGGTACATAAAAGTGGATTTTAAACCGACAAGATTTCAATCTATTCGTGCCGGCACATCAGCAACAATCATGTAACAGAACAAAGTGTAAAAAACTTAATTATAGTGGCTGTGCTGGTGGTTTTCGCTTGTCCAATTGAAAGAAAGGAAGGAATAAAGTTGAACAACATGCTTGGAGAAGATGTAAGATTTAACTACCAGCAAATTTTATTTTACTATTTTATTATTTTTGTTAGAATAAGGACTCATTTCTGTTCGAAAACATCCGAACCGGAAACTTACCATCCATCCAACAAGCAATAAACAGCAAAGCAAACATCAACTCTCTTGACGCCGATGGTAACACCCCCCTGGCGAACGCGACAAAACGCGGCCGCAAGGACATCATTAAATACCTCCTCCGGAAAAAAGCAGACATATTCAAAGTCGGAGAAGGAGGCAAAACGGCGATTCACTGGGCCATCTCGCGTAACGACTTCGACGCAGTCAAGTTGATGTTTTGGCGAAACTTTTGTGTTAATAAAATCGACGACAAAGGAAACACGCCTCTGATTTATGCAGCACAGGAAGGAAGAGCCAACGTTGCTAAATTCTTGGTCAATAAAGGTGCAGTCGTTGATAAGGTTGGTCGCAGCAGAAAAACACCTTTGATCGAGGCGATAATCGGAGGCCACTTGTCCGCTGTTAATTATCTTGTAGAAATGGGTGCCAACGTTGACAGACTGGCTCCTGATGGAAATAGTCCTTTAGCTGCGGCTGTACGTTGCCAACATAGAAAAATTGTGGAGTTGTTAGTGAACATGGAAGCTGATGTCTGCAAGGTCGGTGACAAGGGTAAACCACCACTTTCGTGGGCTGTGATAACTGAAGACTTTGGTCTGGTCGAGTTTTTGCTTGAAAATGGGGCAGAGGATACAGTGCAAGCGGCGCTTGTGGAAGCGGTAGAAGGACGAAACTTTGAAATTGTTAAATTCTTGATGGAGAAGTGTGACAGTATCGAAATGGGATCTAAATTTAAGGAAATGATTTTTAATAAGGTCAAGGAAAGTCATAATTTGGATTTAGAGAGGTGTATGGAAAAATGGAATTTAGGATGAAGTGATTCAGGCGAAGACTGTGATCAATCATTTGTTAAACTAGATGTAGATAAACATGTTCAGGATTTTGTACTGGCAGAAATTTACCGTTTTGATTACATTTTACCAATAAAATGTAGCATTTGTTTTTCTTGCCTTCCCAGTAACCATCTTTGTGTTTTTGAAAGCATAATATAGAAATACGAAACATTTCTTACAGAGCTCACATGACTCCAGCAGTTCTCAAAGAATAATGAATTGATGAAAAAAAACAAAGTTAAACTTCGTTACGATCTTTTAGGCAACCAGTAATACTTACCTCAATTCTATAAAAGCGTTTCAAACTAGTTATAAGGATCATTTAAATTTTCCTTTGGCTGGAAGTTCCCTAACAAGACATTCTTCATTAACAATGTTATCAAGATTCTTGTAAACTTTGCGAGTCTCCTTGCAGTGAGATCCGAATTTTAAATGTTTGACGACACACTGAAATTTTAAAAGTACGTCCCTGGCACGAGTACTTACAATCAATTGGGGTGTGTTTATACAGATGTAAAAATAAAAATATAATTAACTACTATCAACAATCATCATTGTTTTCTATCACTCATCAGAGATGTTGCAAATTTGTTATCTAATTTAGTAAACAGGATAGATATATTTTTATATATCTCCCTTATCGGGTTAGTAAACGATACGAGTGCAAATGTGTGTTGAAATTTTCGTAGTTAGGTGCAATTTCCGTCGCACAAAAAGGTATGAATATATTTACTTTTTGTTTTTCACTGCTAGTGTTAATATATGTGCTTCCAAAGGGCTCTAGAAATAAATTACGATTAAGAATTTTTTAGCACTGATTATTCTTATTAGTTAACTTATTCTTCTCTATTTTCTAAATGTTTATGTCTTTATAAAACAAAAGGAACTGATAAATTTTAATTCACTATTTCAGCCCCACTCTTCAAAAAAATGTCTCGCCGCCTCTCCAAGATAGACCTCCTAATTACCGCCATAAATTCCAACAACTTACACCTTCTTACGAAATGCATGGAGCATGGAGCAGACATCAATGCAACCTGGCCTTTAGCTGACTGTTCCATATTTGCAAAAGCTGTGGAAAAAAACAATTTTGAAATAATTGAGTACCTCATAAAAAAATCTCCAGACCTTCATTGCAACACTACTAACAAAGTCACGCCATTGATAGCTGCCATACGAAGCAACTGTACTTTACAAGTTATTGACATTTTGATAAAAAGAGGAGCTGAAGTTAATGAAAAGGACGCATTTGGTCGTACTCCACTGAACCAAGCACTGTCTTTGAACAAAGACGAAATTGTCCAGTTGTTGCTGGTAAGTGGTGCCGATGTTAGTCAGTGTGATGATTGTGGAAGGCTTCCCATCACTCTTGCAGTGGTTAACAATAGACTTGAAATTGTTAAACTTTTGTTTTCGAAAGGTGCTGATATCAATCAATTTGACCGTAATGGGGATTGTGCACTTGCAGTAGCACAAAGGTTAAATGATCCCAGTATTTTAAACTATTTTGAAGAAAAAGTGGCAGCTAGAACCGTGAGGCAGAAAGAGTTTGTAAATTACAAGAAACTAAAGGTTCAGGGGACAAGGAAAACTACGATAAAATTAGTCACCAAAGTAGACACTGTTCCAAAAGAAGAACAAACATCAGAAGATGCACTTAAAGAAGAAACCTTGCAAGACGTAACAAGTTTTCTTCAAGGAAAAAATGTTAATCAAACTGACGATCAAGGATTCACCCTATTGGCAAGAGCTATCCAATCACAGAACATCAAAGTGGTCCAGTGTCTTCTTACTTTAAACGCCAACTCTTGTAAAACTGTGAATGGTCAAACTCCTCTTCAGCTTGCCGTGAAGACACAAAACTTACAAATTGTGCAACTGTTGCTACAACACGGAGCTGAACATACCATCCAAACAGCCCTTTTTGAAGCCGTGATTTTGGGGGACTTACAAATTGTCAATTTATTGATGACGAAAAATGTAGAGCTCAATGTAATATACAGAAATGGGTATACTGTTTTATCAAAAGCAATCGAAACTGAGGAAGTCAACATTGTGAAGGTATTAGTGGAAAAGGGAGCTAGTGTAAATTTGCCTGATAGAAGCGGAAAATTGCCCTTAATCAGAGCTTTAGAAACTGGTAATGGAGATATTTCGTCATACTTGAGTGATAAAGGTGCCACAATTAACAACGGGGACAATAATCTTTCGTATTTTCAACAGTTGATAGAAGACAATAATTTGGAAATGGTGAAAGCTTTCGTCGAGTTATTGAAGATCGACGTAGATGTTAATTTTGAAACTGGGTTTTCTCCTGTGACGAAAGCTGTGGAACGGGGGAATCAACAAATGGTGGAATATTTTCTGTCACGAAAGAATGATATTAAGGATAAAGTTGATGGCAATAAGAAGTGTCCATTGTCTATTGCTGCAGTAAACGAAGATCTTCCAATGGTGAAGTTTTTGATAAATTCAGGGGCTGACGTTAGTGCGACGAAAAATGAAATAGAAGAGTATGCAAATATTTGTGAAGATTTTGCCATTTACTTAGAAATAAGAGAAGGAAAGTACGTATCATGGAAGCAAAATGGAAACTGAAATTATGATTTTGTAATTGACAGGGTGGATTATCTGTGTTATTAATTTTACATAGTGTAGTATGTTGAATAAAGTTTTCATATGTTGTGGTATATAGGATGTTTTTGAAATACATGTGCAAACAAATTTGAGGTGTCCGGTGAATCTAAATGAAGTGTGACATTAAAATTAATGTAGGGATAACCAACCCCTATGCAGAACGTCTCTACACTAGGTGTAGGTACTTAAAGAACTTTTATAAATCTTACAAATCATAAAGCCACAAAAATTCCGGTGGCAACAATAATGACAATGCCAAAAAATGGTCATGTTCTTAAAATATAATTTACCAAAAGAAGGGTATTAAGTACACTGTGGTGTTTAAGCTAAATAGAGTCAATTTTCAATTTCTAGAAAATAGAAAAGAGTACATGGTTAACCGTAAGAAAACTTTAGTGCCTCAGGTTTGGTATTTAATGGCAGACATTCAGTTATTGATAGCATCACTCATGGTACTTTTTGGATTATGGAAGTTTAGGAAAATTGCGAAAATTCTGATTTCTATAATTGCGATTGAACGGAAAACGTTATTGTTACTCCACATGGTCTCGATTTTTCAAACTTTTCGCGATTTTGTTGTAAGCTCATGGCTTCTTTATTTGTTTTTGTTAATACCACAAGGTCTTACACAATAATGATGAATGATTTAGAAACAGTTTTTTATTCGCTATAACCTAGTTAACGCGTCGCTCAAAAATAATTAGGAGAGCCAAAATTTTCAAATTTCTGTTTTTTCATCTAAAATCCACAACATTAATGTCCTATGACAGCTTAACAAAAAGCATTAATTTAAACTTTCGCAAAATTACTTAAACAGAATGGACGTAATTTCGTTCCTTTAGTCAGGCGGGTTGCTGACATACCATTAGCAACTTCTACAACTTTGCTACCGCCAGTACCAACCAGTTTTGTAGAATTGCATGTAGAATTTTACTAAATACTTCTAAAAATGAACACTGTAACACTAAGAAAAATAACAGAATTACCCACAGATCCATCTGTTGAAGAACAATACACGTCCACAGTTAATTTAGAAAAGGTAAATCATAGTTAATTCGTAAGTTCCCATAGCTAACTTTAATAACCTTAGATTCTTAATAACCACACTATGAATAACGAAGACACAACGAAGCTTCCAAAACCTAAAAGTAAGTCTTTAGTTTCATCTGCTTTCTTATTCTTCTGTCCACTAATTACGTATTTCACCACAGACATAACAACGTTAAGCCAATCCAAACAAAAACTTCGTCGATTTAAAATGAACAAAACTCAGCTGACTATCCTGAAGCAAGCATATGGCAAAAACAGGTACACCACGGCGGAACAGCGTAAGCAGTTCTCACGAATGTTGGGTGTTTCTGAGAAAAAAGTAGCACGTTGGTTTGTAAATCGGAGATATGAAGAGAGGAAAAAACTAAAGAGAAAAGAGCAATCCGAGGAATTGTGGAAGATATTTCTCTCAAATGTAATAAAGGGTGTCCGCGTTAAAACGTTTCTGGATTTGTTAAAATATATGGACAAGTACTTCAACGAAGGTGATTGTTTATTTATCTTGGACGCACCAAATACCATAGCACCACCTTGAACTATCCATGTGCTCCAGAAGCAAATTCTGGAAACTATTGTAGGATTCGATGGTTTTGTTTGAAGAAGATTGTTTTAGTTTAGTTGTGATGATCGTTAATGTTGTCGATAATTTCCATATTTCTTTTAATAATAGACAGTTTATTTAAAATGAAACGTGCTTCGCATGAAACCCTCCCACCAGCGCAGCGTCCATCTCTTCATTAGTCACTTACGGTGTTTAAGTGTTGCAGGTAGATCTGGAAGCTGTCTTGGTATTGATAAAACGTAGTCAAGATGCCGGCGTCAAGTAGTTGTGCAGATAAAGTACTGTACTGGTATTGTGGTAATCCTGCTCTTAAAAAAAGATTTTATTGTGTTGAGTGTGATAAATATTCACATGTTAGTTGCAATGAAAAGAAAAAGTGTTGTAATGCTCCCCAAAGTCAAGAAGATGAAGATGTTCAGTCTGTTAAAAACCTTGTATCTGCAATAGATTCATTGACCTCGATGGTCAAAGAAATGAAAAACACTATCGACAACCTTGTACTTGAGAACAAGAAAGTGCATGAAGAAATTGAACGGCTGAAAAATAAACAACCCCAAACAGATGTGACAACACAACCCTTAATTTCTGATAACCAAATTTTAGAGGAAATAGAGAACCGGGAATCTCGTCGTTGTAACCTAATTATCAGCAACTTAACGGAACCGAGGAAAGAGACAGCAGAGGCGAATATGCAAGATGATCTTACAATGATCAATAATATCTTAACACAGGAGCAGGAGTACAGCAAATTGACATCATAAAGTCGGTAAGAATTGGTAAAAATACTGAGAAACCTAGATTACTTAAGGTTACACTGTCTTTTCCGGTGATAGTAAGAGAGATTCTAATTAAATACAAAACACAAAATGGTGTGTATATCAATCGCGATTTGACAAAGATGCAACAAAACTATGCCTATGCAATACGCAAAGAATTCAAAAGATGAACTGATAATGGAGAGAAAAATATCGTTTTGAAATAATGTGCGTGGTCTAAACACTAAAGTAAATGCATTCTATGTCAATGTTTGTTCTACTGATGCTCAAGTAATTTTGCTAACAGAGGCTTGGCTACATAGTGGAGTATCTAACTCTGAACTTTTTCCACCAAAATTCAATGTTTTTAGATCTGATAGAAGACTGTCCAGAGGAGAAGGTGCTCTTATAGCTATTGACAGTAAAATCATTGCTACTAATCTCAACTTGTTGTCACCTGTTACGAATATCGACTTGATTGCGGTTAAGTTGCTATGTTTTAAAAAATGTTTAACAATTGTTTGCTTATACATAGCACCAGGTCTCGCTCAAGAACATTATCTTTGTCTTTTTGAATATATGGAGTCTGTAATAGATTTTTCTCAGTTAGTGCTGATTGTAGGAGATTTCAACATGCCGGAGTATATTCAATACAAGGGCGGAAGTAAGAATACACATATTTACGACGTTTTTGCTCACTTTCTCTCTATGAATAATTTGTTGCAACAAAATACTGTTGTAAATCAAAACTTACGTAAGTATTCTTGATTTATTTCTCAGTTCGGATGAAATAATTGTTCATACGACTAGCAATGAATTTCCATTAGTAAACTGTGATCCACATCATCCAAGTTTAGATTTGGAAGTTTTATGTGAAACAACTCAAAATTCTTACTTCGTTGAGAACACTTACTCGTCTCGTTTCAACTTCAGGAAACCAGATATTACAGGACTTTACACTTCATTATCGACAACTGATTGGTCAAGAATATTGAATTGTAATGAAGTTGAATAAGCTTGTGAGTATTTTTACAATATCTTATATGATAATTTCATAAAACATGTGCCGCTATATAAATCAGTAGTTCTAAAATGCATCATCATCCATCTTGGTTTACTAAATCTTTGATTCATAATATCAAGCTAAAACGGTGGCATTGGAATAAATATAAAAAACGAGTCTTGTACATCATTTAGACAAATATAGAGAGTTGAGACGAAGGATTAAGTATGAATCCCGTAATGAATACAAATGTTTCATTGAGAGCGCTGAACAATCTATCAAAGTCGATCCTAAAAGTTTTTGGTCATATGTCAACACTAAAAGGAAGAAAAGTAGAATACTTGGTACGTTAACTGATGGAAACAACATTCTCAAATCTCCTCAGGACATCGTGGAAGCTTTTGCTCAACAATTTGTTGCGGTTTTTGGTGATAATTCTAGCTGTGATAAGTTTTGTAATAATACCGTCAATTGTATTTACTGTGATAAAAAGTTCTGTCCCTCTGTGAATATCAAATCTAGCTGTGATCCACCTACAACTGCTCACAAGATCAAGATTGCAAGCAGTGATATTTTACTGGCTGTAAACAAAATTAAAGACAATTATGTATCAGGTTCGGATAAAGTACCAGCGTTTGTGGTAGTAGATTGTATTAATTGTTTTTTATCGCCTTTGAGGCAAATCTTTAACTTAATTTTGAAGTATTCATTGTATCCTAATGTATGGTCGGTGTCAAAAGTAGTTCCAGTTTTCAAATCCGGTAATAAAACAAGATTACAAACTATAGACCTATAGCAATTCTATGTAATTTTGCAAAAATATTTGAGTGTATACTTTCTAACACTATTAACTTTAATGTAAGTAGCCAAATAAGTCATGATCAACATGGTTTCATTAGAGGAAAATCAACTGTTACCAACTTAGTTGAATTTACGCAATTTGCCTCTCAGGTCTTAGATGATAGAAAGCAAGTAAACGTAATATACACTGACCTTACAAAAGCATTCGACAAAGTTAACCAGTGTATATTACTCAAAAAACTTGGTAATTTTGATCTGTGCAATAGTTTACTTCAGTTATTGAAATCAATGATTATGAATAGGCGTCAATTTGTTGAGTATAATGGATTTATGTCTAAAGAATTTTATTGCAAAAGCGGTGTAGCTCAAGGGTCCAACCTTGGTCCGTTGCTTTTCATACTTTTTTTAATGACATATCTAACCATATTGATTTTACATATATGCGGATGATCTGAAGATTGTAAATGTTATAACCTCGTATTCTGATTGTCTTCAGTTACAAGATAGTATTGATTCATTCCTAAATTATTGTCAAATTAATTCTCTTAATGTAAATTTACTTAAATGTAAAGTTATGACAATAACTAGGAAATTGCAACCCATTAATTTTATGTACAACATGAATGGTACGCTTTTAGATCGTTGTGATCAGTTTAAAGACCTGGGGATTGTAGTAGATAACAAATTGTCGTTTACACCGCATATTGAATATGTTACAAACAGTGCAATGAAGATGCTAGGATTTATAATTCGTAATGCAACAGATTTACACAATACACATTGCATAAAGTTATTGTTTTACACCTTAATCAGAGCAAAACTAGAATATTGTAGTGGAGTATGGAACCCAACGCATAATACTTATATCTTTCTTGTTGAAAATGTAGTGAGAAAATTTTGTAAATGCGTATTTTTCAAAATGTTTGGCAGATACCCTGCACCACACTGTGACCAAAAAATTCTTTTGAACACAGTTAATGAAACATCACTTTTGAGTAGAAGAAATTTGGCTTGTCTTACATTTTTACAAAAAATTATTGATGGTTCAGTGCATAGTGGTACATTACTTAGCCAAATAAATTTCATTGCACCTAGGAGTATAAGCCGAATGCCACAGACGTTTCATTACGTAATTCCGAATACCAGCAGTACAATTCTCCTTTATTAAATTGTTTTAAACTATGCAATTGTTTGAGTGATAAGTTCGATATTTTCTGCGACAAATTACATAGAACTAAAGTAAAAAAAATAATTATATTGCATTATAGTCAATAAAATATATGTCAACTGTCTGCTCTTGTAGTACGAATGGGTTAATTAATCTTGTATAGGACTGCCGATTGTTAATTATTTATGGTGTTTTTTTTTTTTCTCTAGTTTATATATTCATTTTTTACTATAATTTTTTTATTATGTATGTAAATGTAGTACCATTCTGTCAGTATATGTTTCTATATGGACAATTGTCTGTTTAAAAAATAAATTACTAAATTACTAAAATTACTAAAGTAGCAAAAAATTATTAATAATAAAAATGTTAACAAAAAATAACGCCTTAATAAAACATTATCATGCACGATATATTAATGATTTGGCTTTTCTAGCACATTAATCTATAAGTACGTGAATAAGAACATAATTAAGTACGAGTTCATTCATTAGTGATCATTGATCAATCATAGTTAAGATTCCATCATATTCTTAAAATAAAGGTCTGGACTTAGTGCTATATGTTTTCACGTTATACGTTTTTTAAATAATGTTGGAATTTGATATTCCATGGACGATTCAACAGCAATGATTTTAAAAATTACACTAACTATTGTGAATTCATTAGAGACATTTCAAATTTTTTGCATTTCTTCACAAATCAGTCATTACATATTATTAGGTTGCTCGTTTAATAACTGACAGACGAAAACAAGAGACTCTTTTTTTCGTACTCTTGGGTAATGACACATCGAGAAAGTATGAAAGTAGCCAGTCGCCCGATGGACTTGAACACAAAACTTGTATATCTATAATCTTCCGCCTGCAAACTAACTTTTATGTATTTTTCATCCTATTACAAAGCTGATGAAGTCATCTTAGCAGAACAATTTATTTGCAGGTATTTTACCCAGTTTTCTATCGCTGATCAGATATGTTTCAAATATGTTATCTAATTTAGCTTTATATCTATGACCGTTGTCTGGTTCGTAAACCACTAATACGAGTACAACCGTGTGTTGAAATTTTCGTAGTTAGGTGAAGTTTCTGTTGCACAATACAATCACCGAAAGGTATGAAATATATTTACTTTTTGTTTTCCACTTCTAGTGGAAATCACTTTTAAGAATTTGTTTAAACACTGATTATTCTTGTTAATCAACTTATTTTTCTAATCATTTTCACATGTTATCTTAACCACTCAAGTATAATTAACGCACAATTTTGCACTTTTTGTTGCACCATAGTGTACATAGTAGAATTTCCTTCAATTCCTTTATGATGGAAGATTCATTGTGTGTTAAATAAGCGGCTTTCCTTGACATGATTTCTGATAGACGTATAATGATTGGTTTAGAAAATTGTGTTAGATGTTTTTGTAGTACTACCTGCATTTATTCAAACCTTGGTGTTCGGTTTTCAATGTCGGTTAGTATACTTATATGATACTATCACAAATTCCACATAATAAACCATCCATAACTATATTATTTATATTTTTACGTGTCTGTAAAACAAACAGAATTAGTAGACTTTAATTTACTGTTTCAGCTCCACTCTCCAAAAAAATGTCTCGCCACCCCTCCAAGACCGATCTCCTAGTTACAGCCGTAAATTCAAACAACTTATACCTTCTCACCAAATGCTTGGAGCATGGAGCAGACATCAATGCAACCTGGCCTTTAGCTGACTGCTCCATTTTTTCAAAAGCTGTGGAAAAAGACAATTTCGAAATAATTCAGTACCTCATAAAAAAATCTCCTGACCTTCATTGCAACACTACTAACAAAATCACGCCATTGATAGTTGCCATACGAAATAATTGTTCTTTACAAGTTATAGACATGTTGATAAAAAGAGGAGCCAATGTCAATGAAAAAGACGCATTTGGACGTACTCCACTGAACGAAGCACTGTCTTTGAACAAAGACGAAATTGTCCAGTTGTTGCTGGTGAGTGGTGCCGATGTTAATCAGTGTGATGATTGTGGAAGACTTCCCATCACTCTTGCAGTAGTTAACAATAGACTTAAAGTTGTCAAACTTCTGTTTTCCAAAGGTGCTGATATCAATCAGTGTGGCCGCAATGGGGATTCTGCACTTGCATTAGCACGAAGGTTAAATGACTCCAGTATTTTGAACTATTTTGAAAAAAAAATAGCCGCTAGAACTGCGAGGCAGAAAGAGTTTGTAAATTACAACCACGTAAAGTCTTCGGGGACAAGAAAAGCTACGATAAAATTAGTCCCCAAAGTAGAAACAGTTCCAAAAGAAGAACAAACATCAGAAGATGCGCTTAAAGAAGAAACCTTGCAAGACGTAACAAGTTTTCTTCAAGGAAAAAATGTTAATCAAACTGACGATCAAGGATTCACCCTATTGGCAAGAGCTATCCAATCACAGAACATCAAAGTGGTCGAGTGTCTTCTTACTTTAAACGCCAACTCTTGTAAAACTGTCAATGGTCAAACTCCTCTTCAGCTCGCCGTGAAGACACAAAACTTGCAAATTGTACAACTGTTGCTACAACACGGAGCTGAACACACCATCCAAACAGCCCTTTTTGAAGCCGTGATTTTGGGGCACTTACAAATTGTCAATTTTTTGATCACGAAAAATGTTGAGCTCAATGTGATTTACAGAAATGGGTATACTGTTTTAACGAAAGCTATCGAAACTGGGGATGTTAACATTGTGAAGATATTAGTGGAAAAGGGAGCAAGTGTAAATATGCCTGATAAAAGCGGAAAAGTGCCCTTAATCAGAGCTTTAGAAACTGGTAATGGAGATATTTCGTCATACTTGAGCGATAAAGGTGCCACCATTAACAACGGGGACAATAATCTTTCGTATTTTCAACAGTTGTTAGAAGACAATAATTTGACAACGGTGAAAGCTTTCGTCGAGTTATTGAAGATCGACGTAGATGTTATTTTTGAAACTGGATTTTCTCCTGTGACGAAAGCTGTGGAACGGCGGAATCTACAAATGGTGGAATATTTTCTGTCACGAAAGAATGATATTAAGGATAAAGTTGATGGCAATAAGAAGTGTCCATTGTCTATTGCTGCAGTAAACGAAGATCTTCCAATGGTGAAGTTTTTGATAAATTCAGGGGTTGACGTTAGTGCGGCGAAAAATGAAATAGAAGAGTATGCAAATATTTGTGAAGATTTTGCCATTTACTTAGAAATAAGAGAAGGAAAATACGTATCATGGAAGCAAAATGGAAACTGAATTTATGATTTTGTAATTGACAGGGTGAATTATCTGTGTTATTAATTTTACCTAGGGTAGTATTTTAAATAAAGTATTCATATGTTGTGGAATATGAGATGTTTTTGAAATACATGTGCAAACAAATTTGAGGTGTTTGGTGAATCTAAATGAAGTGTGACATTAAAATTAATGTAGGGATAACCAACCCCTATGCAGAATTTCTCTACACTAGGTGTAGATACTTAAAGAACTTTTATAAATATTAGTAACCATTAAGCCACAAAAATTCCGGTGGCAACAATAATGACAATACCAAAAAAACTGTCATCTTCTTAAAATATAATTTACCAAAAGAAGAGTATTAAGATACGTACACTGTGGTATTTAAGCTAAACAGAGTCAAATTTCAATTTTTAGAAAATAGAATAGAGTACCTCGTTAACCGTAAGAAAATTTTACTGCCTCTTGTTTGGTATTTAATGGCAGACATTCAGTTATTGATACCATCACTCATGGTACTTTTTGGATTATTGAAGTTTAGGAAAATTGCGGAAATTCTGATTTATATAAATGCGATTGTACGGAAAACCTTATTGGTACTCCACATGGTCTCGATTTTTTAAACTTCGCTCAATTTTGTTCTAACCCCACGACTTCTTTATTTGTTTTTTTTAATACCACAAGATGTTAAACAATAACGAAGAATGATTTAGAAAGAGTTTTTTATTCTCTATAACCTAGTTAACGCGTTGCTCTAAAATAATTAGGGGAGCCAAAATTTTCAAATTTCTGTTTTTTTATCTAAAATCCACAACATTAATGTCCTATGACAGCTTAACAAAAAGCATTAATTTAAACTTTTGCAAAATTACTTAAACAGAGTAGACGTAATTTCGTCTCTTTAGTCAGACGGGTTGCTGACATACCATTAGCAACTTCTACAACAACTTTGCTACCGCCAGTACCAACCAGTTTTGTAGAATTGCATGTAGAATTTTACTAAATACTTCTAAAAATGGACACTGTAACACTAAGAAAAATAACAGAATTACCCACAGATCCATCTGTTGAAGAACAATACACGTCCACAGTTAATTTAGAAAAGGTAAATCATAGTTAATTCGTAAGTTCCCATAGCTAACTTTAATAACCTTAGATTCTTAATAACCATGCTATGAATAACGAAGACACAACGAAGCTTCCAAAACCTAAAAGTAAGTCTTTAGTTTCATCTGCTTTCTAATTCTTCTGTCCACTAATCACGTATTTCACCAGACATAACAACGTTAAGCCAATCCAAACAAAAACTTCGTCGATTTAAAATGAACAAAACTCAGCTGACCATCCTGAAGGAAGCGTATGGCAAAAACAAGTACACCACGCCGGAACAACGTAAGCAGTTCTCACGAATGTTGGGTGTTTCTGACGAAAAAGTAGCACGTTGGTTTGTAAATCGGAGATATGAAGAGAGGAAAAAACTAAAGGAAAAAAAGCAATCCGAATATCTGTGGAAGATATTCCTCTCAAATGTAATAAAGGGTGTACGTGTTAAAACGGTTCTGGATTTGTTAAAGTATATGGATAAGTACTGCAACCAAGGTGATTGTTTATTCATCTTAGACGCACTAAACACCACAGCACCACCTTGATTTATCCATGTGTTGCAGAAGCAAATTCTGCAAACTGTTGAAGGATTCGATGGTTTTGTTTGAAGAAGATTGTTTTAGTTTAGTTGTGATGATCGTTAATGTTGTCGCTAATTTCCATATTTCTTTTAATAATAGACAATTTATTCAAAATGAAACGTGCTTCACATGAAACCCTCCTATCAGCACAGCTTCCATTTCTTCGTTAGTCATTTACTGTGTTTAAATGTTGCAGCTAGATCTGGGAGCTGTGTATTAATAATAATAAAAATGTTAACAAAAAATAACGCCTTAATAAAACATTATTATGCACGAAAGTTCTAGTTTATTTACTAGTAATTATTGATCAATCATAGTTAAGACCCTATCATATTGTTCAAAACAAAAATCTAGACGTAGTGTTATTTTTTCTCACGTTATACATTTTTTAAGTAATGTTGGAAGTAGATATTCCATGTATTATTCAATAGCAGCAATTTAAAAATATGTAACGACAAAAGACTATTGTAAATGCTTTAGAGACATTTAAAGTTTTTTTGCATTTTTTCAGAAATCAGTTGTATCATATTGGGTTGCTCGTTTAATAACGGACAGACAGACGAAAACAGGAAACCCCTTTTTCATACTCTTGGGGTAATGACACATCGAGAAAATATGAAAGTAGTCAGTCGCCCAATGGACTTTAATACAAAACTTGTATAAAAATGTATAACCTTCCGCCTGCAAAATAAATTTTATGTATTTTTCATCCTAGTACGAAGCTGATGACGTCATCTCAGCAGTATAATTTATTTGTAGTTGGTTTACACAGTTTTCTATCATTGATCAGATATGTTGCAAATATGTTATCTAATTTAGTAAACAGAAAAAAAGTTTTATATCTATGACTCTTATCTGATGAGTAAACCACTAAACCGAGTGCAACTGTATGGTGAGATTTTGGTAGTTACGTGAAATTTCTATGGCACATTACGATCATCAAAAGGTATGAAATATATTTACTTTTTTCTACTTCTAGTGTTAATGTATGTGGTCAGAAACGGTTTAGAAAGAAATCACTGTTAAGAACTTTTTTAAACACTAATTATTCTTGAAAGTCAACTTATTTTTTTCATCAATTTCACATATTATGTTAACTACTCAAGTATCATTAACGCAAAATTTTGCATTTTTTGTTGTACCAAACTGTGGGTAGTGGAATTATTTCCTTCAGTGTTTTAAATAAGCGGCTTTATTTGACACAATTTGTGATAGACGTATCATGATTGGTTCATTGAATGGTTGTTGCTATACCTTCCTGTTTAACCTAATTAGAAAAATATATGTACAGATTTTTGTAGTAATACCTGGAATTATTCAAACATACTTATTTGATATTATCACAAATTCCACATAATAAATCATCCAGAATAGGAAATACCTGTTATCTATATTTTTAATCGTCTGTGAAACAAACAGAATTGATAAATTTAATTTACTATTTCAGCTCCATTCTCCAAAAAAAATGTCTCGCCACCCCTCCAAAATCGACCTCCTAGTTACAGCCATAAATTCGGACAACTTAAACCTTGTCACCAAATGCTTCGAGCATGGAGTAGACATCAATGCAACCTGGCCTTTAGCTGACTGTTCCATATTTGCAAAAGCTGTGGCAAAAAACAATTTTGAAATAATTGAATTCCTCATAAACAAATCTCCTGACCTTCATTGCAACACTACTAACAAAGTCACGCCATTGATAGCTGCCATACGAAGCAATTGTTCTTTACAAGTTATCGACATTTTGATAAAAAGAGGAGCTGAAGTTAATGAAAAGGACGCATTTGGTCGTACTCCACTGAACGAAGCACTGTCTTTGAACAAAGACGAAATTGTCCAGTTGTTGCTGATGAGTGGTGCCGATGTGAGTCAGTGCGATGATTGTGGAAAGCTTCCCATCACTCTTGCAGTCGTTAAAAACAGACTTAAAGCTGTCAAACTTCTGTTTTCCAAAGGTGTTGATATCAATCAATGTGACCGTAATGGGGATTGTGCACTTGCAGTAGCACAAAGGTTGAATGATCCCAGTATTTTAAACTATTTTGAAGAAAAAATAGCCGCTAGAACAGCGAGGCAGAAAGAGTCTGTAAATTACAACCAAGTAAAGTCTTCGGGGACAAGGAAAGCGACGATAAAATTAGTCACCAAAGTAGAAACTGTTCCAAAAGAAAAACAAACATCAGAAGATGCACTTAAAGAAGAAACCTTGCAAGACGTAACAAGTTTTCTTCAAGGAAAAAATGTTAATCAAACTGACGATCAAGGATTCACCCTATTGGCAAGAGCTATCCAATCCCAGAACATCAAAGTGGTCGAGTGTCTTCTTACTTTAAACGCCAACTCTTGTAAAACTGTGAAAGGTCAAACTCCTCTTCAGCTTGCCGTGAAGACACAAAACTTACAAATTGTGCAACTGTTGCTACAACACGGAGCTGAACACACCATCCAAACAGCCCTTTTTGAAGCCGTGATTTTGGGGGACTTACAAATTGTCAATTTTTTGATCACGAAAAATGTCGATCTCAATGTGATATACAGAAATGGAAATACTGTTTTAACGAAAGCCATCGAAGCTGAAGATGTTAACGTTGTAAAGGCATTAGTGGAAAAGGGAGCTAGTGTAAATATGCCTGATAGAAGCGGAAAAGTGCCCTTAATCAGAGCTTTACAAACTGGTAATGCGGATATTTCGTCATACTTGAGTGATAAAGGTGCCATCATTAACAACGGGGACAATAATCTTTCGTATTTGCAACAGTTGATAGATAATAATAATTTGACGATGGTGAAAGCTTTCGTCGAGTTATTGAAGATCGACGTAGATGTTCTTTTTGAAAATGGGTTTTCTCCTGTGACGAAAGCTGTGGAACGAGGGAATCTACAAATGGTGGAGTATTTTCTGTCACGAAAGAATGATATTAAGGATAAAGTTGATGGCAATAAGAAGTGTCCATTGTCTATTGCTGCAGTAAACGAAGATCTTCCAATGGTGAAGTTTTTGATAAATTCAGGGGCTGACGTTAGTGCGGCGAAAAATGAAATAGAAGAGTATGCAAATATTTGTGAAGATTTTGCCATTTACTTAGAAATAAGAGAAGGAAAATACGTATCATGGAAACAAAATGGAAACTGAAATTATGATTTTGTAATTGACAGGGTGAATTATCTGTGTTATTAATTTTACATAGTGTAGTATGTTGAATAAAGAATTCATATGTTGTGGTATATAGGATGTTTTTGAAATACATGTGCAAACAAATTTGAGGTATCTGGTGAATCTAAATGAAGTGTGACATTAAAATTAATGTGGCGATAGCCGACCCCGAAGCAGAATTTCTCTACACTAGGTGTAGGAACTTTTATAAATCTTAGCAATCATATACTTCTTTATTTCTTTTTTTAATACCACAAGTTGTTAAACAATAATGAAGTATGATTTAGAAACAGTTTTTTATTCTCTACAACCTAGTTAACGCGTTGCTCTAAAAGTCTAAAATAATTAGGGGAGCCAAAATTTTCAAATTTCTGTTTTTTTTTATCTAAAATCCACAACATTAATGTCATATGACAGCTTAACAAAAAACATTAGTTTAAACTTTTGCAAAATTACTTAAACAGACTAAACGTAATTTCGTCCTTTAGACAGACGGGTTGCTGACATACTATATATTAGCAACTTCTACAACAACTTTGCTACCACCAGTACCAACCAGTTTTGTAGAATTGCATGTAGAATTTTACTAGATATTTCTAATAATGGACTCTGTAACACCAAGAAATATAGCAGAATTACCCACAGATCCATCTGTTGAAGAACAATACACGTCCACAGTTAATTTAGAAAAGGTAAATCATAGTTAATTCGTAAGTTCCGATAGTTAATTTTATAACCTTAGATTCTTAATAACGATGCTATGAATAACGAAGACACAACGGAGCTTCCAAAACCTAAAAGTAAGTCTTTAGTTTCATCTCCTTTCTAATTCTTCTGTCCACTGATCACGTATTTCACCACAGACATAACAAAATCAAGCCAATCCAAACAAAAACTTCGTCGAATTAAAATGAACCAAACTCAGCTGACCATCCTGAACAAAGCATATTCCAAAAACAGGTACATCACGGCGGAACAGCGTAAGCAATTCTCACGAATGTTGGGTGTTTCTGAGAAAAAGATAACACGTTGGTTTGCAAATAAGAGATATGAAGAGGGGAAGAGGCTAAAGAAAAAAGAGCAATCCGAAGAGCTGTGGAAAAATCTCCTCTCAAATGTAGTGGATGATGTTCATGTTAAAACGTTTCTGGATTTGGTAAAGTATATGGACAAGTACTGCAACCAAGGTGATTGTTTATTTATCTTGGACTCACCAAATACCACAACACTATCTTGAACTGTTCATGTGCTGCAGAAACGAATTCTGCAAATTTTCGTAGGATTCGACAGTTTTGTTTGAAGAAGATTGTTTTAGTTTAGTTGTGATGATTGTCAATGTTGTTAATTTTAATAGACAGTTTATTTAAAGTGAAACGTGCTTCGCATGAAACCCTCCCACCAGCATCCATTTCTTCATTAGTCGCTTATTGTGTTTAAGTGGTGCAGGCAGATCTGGGAGCTGTGTTGGTGAGTTATTTCCCGTTACGTTTCGTTGCCAAAAGAGTCCTAATAAAAACAAAATTCGGACCTTATTTTTACTTTTGTTTAAATATTCTGAATGTTATCTGTTCAAATGTTACGTTTACAAAATAAAAATTAATTTTTATTAAACTAATTGGCAGTAGCCTTGACATTTTTGAATAATAGGGTTGTAAGATAACATTACATTTTGAGAATTTTCGATAGTGTCACTCTTCCTTGCGGAAGTCGCTGCAGTTATGCAGATTATTAACATTCAGTATTCGATGCGTCGTAGGTTTTATGATTTGATAACGCACGACCGATAAGACAAAGTTCCAGGAAGCAGGCAGGCAAATTTCAACGAATTGAAAAATGTAGCATGTCGGTGATCAAATCAGATTGGTAAATGACAAAAACGACGAATGTTAAAGATTTTTGATAAAAGACGTGCAAAGTTACAGGGAAAATTGACGTAAGATTATATTTTTTTTACTCTAGTATTTGTAATTAATCGAATGAGTATAGGTTTTTAATTAAATCTGGTATTGCACACGCAATGAAGTACCAAGCAACATGAAATTAAACTTTAGCCAAAATGAAGGTTTTACAATGAATTCTTCAGATATCGTTCGAATAATAAATATGTGTTTATCAGGAATGAGGAAAACCATTATTAGTACTTATCTTTCTCATGACCATGAATCATACAGGAATTCACAGAAATTAATCTATTTTCGTGGTTACAACGATATTTATTAGTACGTGATTATTGTGACAATCTAGGGTTAATTAATTAATATAATAATAATAACAAAAAACATACATAGTTTAGCACTATCTACATATTAAAGGTACCACTAAAGTTGGCATTTCCAGCACGCCAACTAGGTACAATTATCTATAAGTGCCTACGTGAACAAAAAACATAATCAATTGCTAATTACTTTTGAATATAATTATAAATATTTGCTAAAAATATAAAATATCGATCGAAAATAAAACTAATTAGAGTTGGCTGTGAAACATGTCAATGTCAAAAATTAAACAGATGCAGCAGAGATTCATACTCTATTTCGTTGATTGGTTGGCCAGTTTTCTCGAAGGTTATTTAGACAAACCTTTACTCGCTTTTCGAAAAATTATAAAATTTGATTTTGCAAAATTTATATTCTTACTCATTTGTTTGATACTCTCACAGAATTGATAAACAACCTTTAATTTTTTGTTTCAGCTTCACTCTCCAAAAATGTCTCACCGGCCCTCCAAGACCGACCTCCTAATCACAGCCATAAATTCCGACGACATAGACCTTCTCACCAGATGCATGGAGCAAGGCGCAGACATCAATGCAACCTGGCCTTTAGCTCAGTGCTCCATATTTTCCAAAGCTGTTGAAAAAGACAATTTTAAAATAATCGAGTACCTCATAAGCAAATCTCCAAACCTTCATCGCAACGCTACTAATAAAATCACGCCATTGATAGTTGCCATACGAAGCAATTGTTCTTCACAAGTTATGGACATTCTGATAAAAGGAGGAGCTAAAGTTAATGAAAAGGACGCGTTTGGTCGTACTCCACTGAACGAAGCACTGTCTTTGAACAAAGACGAAATTGTCCAGTTTTTGCTGATGAGTGGTGCCGATGTGAGTCAATGTGATGGTTCTGGAAAACTTCCCATTACTCTTGCAGTAGTTAACAATAGACTTGAAGTTGTCAAACGTCTGTTTTTCAGAGGGGCGGATATCAATCAGTGTGACCGCAATGGTGATTCTGCACTTGCATTAGCACAAAGGTTGAGTGATCCCAGTATTTTAAACTATTTTGAAGAAAAAATAGCCGCTAGAAGCGCGAGGCAGAAAGAGTCTGTAAATTACAACCAAGTAAAGTCTTCGGGGACAAAGAAAGCTACGATAAAATTAGTCACCAAAGTAGAAACAGTTCCCAAAGAAGAACAAACATCAGAAGATGTACTTAAAGAAGAAACCTTGCAAGACGTAACAAGTTTTCTTCAAGGAAAAAATGTTAATCAAACTGACGAGGAAGGATTCACCCCATTGGCAAGAGCTATCCAGTCACAGAACATCAAATTGGTCCAGTGTCTTCTTACTTTAAACGCCAACTCTTGTAAAACTGTGAAAGGTCAAACTCCTCTTCAGCTTGCCGTGAAAACACAAAACTTACAAATTGTGCAACTGTTGCTACAACACGGAGCTGAACACACCATCCAAACAGCCCTTTTTGAAGCCGTGATTTTGGGGGACTTACAAATTGTCGATTTTTTGATCACGAAAAATGTCGAGCTCAATGTGATATACAGAAATGGGTATACTGTTTTAACAAAAGCTATCGAAACTGAGGATGTTAACATTGTGAAGGTATTAGTGAAAAACGGAGCTAGTGTAAATATGCCTGATAGAAGCGGAAAATTGCCCTTAATCAGAGCTTTAGAAACTGGTAATGGGGATATTTCGTCATACTTGAGTGATAAAGGTGCCACCATTAACAACGGGGACAATAATCTTTCGTATTTTCATCAGTTGATAGAAGACAATAATTTGACAATGGTGAAAGCTTTGGTCGAGTTATTGAAGATCGACGTAGATGTTCTTTTTGAAACTGGGTTTTCTCCTGTGACGAAAGCTGTGGAACGAGGGAATCTCCAAATGGTCGAATATTTTTTGTCACGAAAGAATGATATTAAGGATAAAGTTGATGGCAATAAGAAGTGTCCATTGTCTATTGCTGCAGTAAACGAAGATCTTCCAATGGTGAAGTTTTTGATAAATTCAGAGGCTGATGTTAGTGCGGCGAAACGTGAAATAGAAGAGTATGCAAATATTAGTGAAGATTTTGCCATTTATTTAGAAATAAGAGATGGAAAATACGTACCATGGAAACAAAATGGAAACTAAATTATGTGTAATATTTTCAATAAAGCATTAATATATTGTGGAGTGAATATATGCACCGAAATTTTGAGGTTACAATCGACGTAATGGTATGGCTGTATGTGAAACCCTTTAGACCAACCAAGAAACGTCATACAAATAACGTTAATAACATCACGGTGTTTCCACCAGCTGCAAGCACTTATCGACGACTTAAATTCCAGTCGAGTGTCATGGGCTTTTCAAAGTAAGTAATAATCGAGAAAACGATATCTTTAAAACTAGCTTATTTTAAGTGGTGAACGCCACTTCAAAAGTACCACTAAATTTCACTACGTTAAAATTTGGAGATTTTGGTAATTTTCGACAGTGTATAAATTCTAAAACAAATACTTTCCGTGATGAGGACATAGTTGGAAAGTAATTCATTGGTTTCACATTTAACAGGAATTCGGTATTTAAGCACGAATTTTTTGATTTATTTTTTTTAATGTCATTGTTAGACTTTCGATTCACTACCCTCGAGGCCACCACACTGGGCGCGATGTGTACCAGATGGCTGTTACACAGAAGACGTTAATGTCATTGGGAATTCCATATTGATGAGTTCATTAGGGACCGAAAAGCATCTTAGAATCAAATTTCCAGAATTTCTCTGCCAAACTCTAGACGACGTAGAAGTACTCCCAGCGGAAGCAAGCTTGACGATGTACGAGTTTACTCTTTAATAGATTTTTAATAAGAAATAGTTTTCAGTTTTCTGCTGATTATTCTTTCGTTCATCGTTTTTATGTCAACTCTGTGCGACGTTTATGATTTAAATGAGTATTTTTCTCTTTTCGTGCAACAACTCTTTCTTAGAATTTTGTCCCATTATTGTTAGAAGCTTTTCTGCGTACACCCAAGGCCCCTTCTTGTAAAGTCGTTTCAAAGTCCATGCCAACAAAACTGGTGGTCTTGCCTTTTGTACATCCAGAATTATATCGACGCCAACAAGATTGTGAGTACCGGACAAAATAATTTATAATTACGTCAACAAACATGCAGTTATTTCTAACATCACCTATGGTACTTTTTGGATTATGGAAATTTACCAAAATAGCGATAGTTCTGTTAGGATGGTGTTGTTTAGTATCTGCTTTGATTGGTTTTTATTCGATATGGAGAGATAAGCTGCCCGCATATGTCACAGTACTAAGTTTTAGTCTGAATAGATATATATTGAGGCACTTTACAATTTTTAATTTGGTACGTAGCAATAATACGTTCAATTTTTTAAATTAATTAAATTCGTCTTAAGTTTTATGAATTTTGGGGTACAGTGCTTTGATTTCATTCTTCTTAGTTTTTGCTGTCGAAGCTCCTGTGACACCTTTACTGGGTAAACATTTTGCGTATTGCTGAACATTTTTAATGCTTATATTTTAGGAAGAATCAGAAGTAAACCACAAAATTAGATTTTGGCGTTCTGGTTTGAAATCAAGTTAAATAAAAAATAATGTATGATAAAGGGACAAAATAATATATTAATGGGTCAACGTTTAAGATTAAATACCGTAAGTAACCTATTACCATTCTACAGTGAGAAATTTTGTAGTGTGTATAATATATATAATTTAGTAAACACATGCAGAACTTTTCCATGTAGCATTTATTAAAAAAGTTGAGCCTGAATAAGTGAATTTCCGCCACGTGGTTTATATTAACATTTACATCATTGCAGTTGTTTTGTCTTATTAGAACCATGAATAATTAATTAAGAACATCAACATGAACTGCGAATTTACAAACAATGAAGCAAAAATAATACGAGTGGGTGCCATTGTCAAATTGTTTTCATTTTACTGTTACTGTCTTTCTCTTTTAAAGAAATACGATTTTTGTTGTTGGTATTAACAAATTTGTGGAAATTTGGTGAACATCATGATACCAAAATGTTGAAAATCATTTCAAAATGAAATGTTGTTGGGAAATTCTTCCCGGACTCCCACACACCGTTTACCTCTGGCCATTTCGACAATACAATTATAAACGCTTTCTGGTCCAATAGAAATGCCATTTTTGAGTGACTTGCGTATATTGTATAGATTCGTTATAGTAAAAACGCCTTTATTTTCTGAGGGGTTAAATTTCGATTTGTGATAAATAGACAAAGAAAATAATACTGAAAACATATGTTTCAAATGTATGAAAACTAATTAACTTAATTTTATTCGAGTCTAAAAACAAATATTTACATACAAAAAAAGTACATATTCATCGCAAGCAGGTTAAGTATTAAATTCTTATGCAACACACCTGTGCTTTGTGAATGTGACACGATGATTTGCAAATTAAAACACATTAATACTAAGGAGTAGAGACCGATTTACTTCGTATATTTCAATATTTCAATAAGAGAGTATTAAAATTGTTAGGTAATTTTGTTTTTGTTGTATTGCATTTTTTAATTTAAAATTACTGTTGCATAAATACAATACACATTAAAGCTGCGGCTGTTTAAAGCAATATTAAAAAAATAATCCAATAAACAGCACATTATAAAATGTGGTGGTCGCAGTTCAGGGTAATTCAAACACATTGCACGGAAATTACAATTACAAGGACTGCATATGCAAATTGAACTTAATCGAACAAAAAATTTAAATTGAGTAAGTTGTCTAAATTCAAGTGTCCTGGTTTTTCACAATTTGTAACAACCTAAGCTTCCTGAGCGAAAGACACCTGGAGTACGAAAAAGAATTCTCCCGTTTCCGTCTGTCTGTCTGTCTGACGTCTGTGTCGATTTTTATTAGACACGTAGTCTCCGAAACTGTTGCCAAATTTTGTACGTATATTAATATCATGTACTTAGATGGTAAAACGTTAATCAAAATTTGGTTAATCCCACCACCAACAATTTGATGACGTCATTTCAAAGAATTCTATTTTAAAATGGTTTAAATGTGATAAGTAGCATACTCCTATACTTGTGGTGTCCGGATCCGCTTTGAGTTTTTTCAATAAATGTTTGATGTCAAACTTGGCCGCTCCTATTTTTCTCTTTTTTTTTATCCTCATTTGAAGCTAATGCTTACTATTATTATTGCTGAGAGGCCATTTGTCTTGTTGGTCGGATGTTTTAAATATATTTTTGCCACTAGTAGCATTACAATGGCTAATTGTCGACTTGTCTAGAGGTCTGTAATTTGGAAAATTGTGATCCGTGATCAATAATGTAAACGTGAAGTTGGCCACCTAATGTGACAACTGTCCACAACTGTCAGGAAAAATGAGACATAACCTGGAAACGATCATTTTGGAATGTTTTGGTTTTTAATTATGCCCTTTAATGATTTCCAAACCCTGAATTGATTATTCTCGGTGTAATTGAGGATAAATTAGTGATACTAAGTTGATGAAGTTGATGGGAGTGAAAATGAAGTTGACGGGAGTGAAATTGCCTCATGGTTACGATTTGGAGAGGTATATCGAGGATTCTTTAAATACAAAAAATAAAATTGAATAAAAAAAAAGATTCCTGAAGTCATAAAAAGTTTTATGACTTCAGGAATCAAATTTGAACACTTAGAAAACTGCACTAATAACGTTACAGTTGGTGAGAAGCTGAAAATGGAAAAGAATTGGGAATAATTATTAATACTTATTTCTTATTGTCCTTCAAGGACTTTAGTCTCCATTTTTAACGACGTCTGTTCAAAATTTGAAACTATAGTGTTTAAATGATTATTTGTTTAATTGATGGATTCGTTATATGTAGTATAGCAAAAGTGGGTCGTTTGCTGTGAGAATAAATGTTGAGTTATTATGAACAAAGGAATACTGAAAACAAATGTTTCAAATTTGGTGACAATAGAAGTACATATTCATTAAGAGCAGGTGAACACTCAGGCTAAATATTGTATTATCCAGTCACGATCTTTATGTAGTAAAGTAGGCTTTGATATATTTTTTTTAAGTTGAATAAAGTGATTTGATGATTAGTTTTTTGTCTGTCAGTAGTCTGATTGACATTTGCTTTGAGCTGGATTGCCACTTTTCTACATCATTTATTAGATCAGAATTATTTGACGCAATTTTTTAATCAATGTTTTAATTTTGTCAGCATAGATAAATAAACAGATTCACAGATCATTGCGACATTATTTAAAAATAAAACGCCCAAAATAGTTTTACTTCAACGAAAAATTGCAGTAAAAAGATGTTTTTTGCAGTTTCGAAAAGACAGGTGCGATGTTTCTTTCGAAGAAGTAACTATGAGGGTCTCGAACGTATTTTTTGAAATGTAAAAATTCGCTGCAAAATATTTTTGAATTTTTTTCTCATAGGTGGGAACATCTACTGTGGCCAAAATTGTATCAACAGGGGACCAAAATTTAAAAACATCACTATCTGGCTAGCGAAAACCAACGGATTTATTTACAAATTATATATTTCGGAAAGATCTGCAACGACAAATTTGGCAACTTAATGAAAAAAACGAATATTTCACTACAGATATTCTTTTGCATATTCTAGGGAACACTTGGAATTTAAAGGGGAGCGAACCACATTATACAAAATTCTTAAGTCAATGGGTTATAAACACAGGGAACTAAATGGTCGCAAAATTCTATGTGAATAAAAACATGTCGTTGGAGCCAAAATTACTTTTTTGAGAACACATTTACAGTTTCTAAATTCTTGTGAAAATTTGACTTTCGTGTATATCATGGATCTATCAAAATGGTTCGTCCATTCGTCACTGGGTGCACGATACTGATCTAAAAAGCAATCCCACCAAAATTGAAAGCGAAGGCTCAAGGTTTACTATTCTCCACGCGGGTTGTTCAACGGGGTTCTTGGATGGTTGTAACAATTTTTGAAATTCAAAAAATAACGATAGAGACTATCATAAAACGATGGACGGAACAATTATTTAAAATTGGGTGGTTAATCAGCATGTAAACATTGTGAAAAACTTATTTTGGCAGATTGGGAAAAAATATGGGAAATCTTTCCTACGAATCTATACCGCCTTTCATTATTTCGCTAGGTGCATCTGATTCAGAATCTGAATTTGAAAATGACGGTGATGATACAGATTTTCATAGCGAAATAATGGAAATGGAGTGAATTGTAGCTTGTCGGGGGGTGATATTTTTACGTATCTTTTGTTCTAAATTTACCAAGGTAGTATGTGAAAAACTACCTAACGTACAACAAAATAAGTATAATTTTAGAAAGATCATCCACATTGTTACTTTGCACCAAATTATAAGCATTTTAATTTTTTGGAAGTACTTAGTAAAAGCAAATAAAGAGCACTTACGTAAGCATTAGTAATAGCTATATAGATAAATCATTCAATTTAAGGCCGGAAAAATGTTTCAGAAGAACTAAACCCAATAAAGCACTAGGGCGAGATTGTTGTCTTTTACCAACCCTTTTAGTAAATTAGAAAATTAAAAAAAAAGTTGGAAGATATGGAAATAGGTTGTTCACAAAGGTCGAAATTTCCATTTCTAATTAGTGGGCGAGCAGAACGAACCGATGATTGAGAATTACTCATAAAGATGAGATGTTAAATGTGGCATGCGACAATAGTCGTATGTAGAACCCCCATTCTTATAAAAGCAATGTTTAAGTGAAATTTTAGTGTTTGTTCCTTACATATGAAATAAACACTTACAAAAAGCCGAATAACTGTTTTAAATAGCGTAAAGTTTTATGCTTTCTAAGAAATGGATATCGTTTACTTGGTCATTGCTACTGAAAACTGAAAGAACAATGTTTGTATTTCTGTCATATTTTTTAACCTTTAATTTAATAAAACATAACCTAACGAAAAAAGTTCAGGGAATTTTTATTCTTCTGCATCGAATACCAACAAACTGTAAGATATTGTTTTACAGTCGTTTTATCGTCATTTAGACAGCTGTGCGAGCAATAGTCAAGGTTAAGGCTTGGATAATATGCAAAATGAATATTTTTGCATATTCTGCTTATTTACAGTTTTTGCATTTACGCATTGCTTATTTTAATGTTAAGTGCATTTTTATGCATATATTGGTTTATTCTAATTTGTGAAAATCTTAATTTTGATACAATTTTAATTTAATCTTGTCTTAGTAATGCGGACGGGTTTTTCCAAGACTTCATTTACGGGCACCCCCAATTAGACGTATTACTGGAATTCTTTACTTAACGGCCTCTCAGCCGGATGTTGTATATGTTATACAGATTGTTCTACAAATGTATTTAACGAGGGGTTGGAAGTGATGGAAAACTAGAATGGATTTGTAAGTACTTATTTCATTCTTCGATTTCTAAATTCATTCATCATTCGTCTCCGAACTTGGCGACAGAGCAGTGATATTACGTATAATTAAAAAAATGTCTTTTAAACTATTATCGTGGATTCGGCCCTACTCTGAGTTCGTTCTAGATGGAGACGGTGTTTTTTGTAAACCTTGCGGCAAAGCACTAAATTTTTTAAAATATACTTTGAGCCCTTAGACTAAAGTCTAAGAGAACCAAGTAAGAAAATATGTTTTGCATGTCACTCAATGTTAATAATAGATATCTCTTACATAAATAATTATTTGTTTTCAATTTTTTTTTTATAGATTTCGAGCATAAAGAAACATCTTATAGACCAACATTGCAGAATGCCTCTCTCTCTCAAAAGAAATTGTGAAAAAAGAAACTTAACCAGTGTAACTCAAACACCAATACGAGAAACTTTATCTGCTAATACCGGCAAAAATCAAAAGGAAACATTCAAGTTCGATTTATGCTACGCCATGCTTGCCTCGGATATTCCATTAAATAAGTTAAGTAATCCTACATTTCATTAATTTTTGGAAAAATACTGTAAAAGGACCATTCCAGACGAAAGCACTCTCAGGAAAACAACTGTAGATAAATGTTATACCTAAACTGTTGCTAAAATTAAGATACGTTTGCAAAATAACTTTATTTACTTTGTTGTACAAAAAGTAATTTTTCTTGCATATTTTACATGTTTTTTCTGCATATAATTCCGAGCTTTAGTCAAAGCTAGTGTTGCAACTTGACGTAGAATGTATAATATTTTTCTAGTGGTGTCATAAATTTACATCTAATAAGCTATATTATTTGTTGAAGGATGGCGAAATCACGATTATCCTGGATGGCCTGTAGACATTAAAATGTTAAACAAAAATTGTAAAGTACAAATAAGTACAGACCAACATTTGTTTTGTCCATGATTTAACAGTCATGAACTGTTGTTTTGAAATGTTTGACCAACTGGAACTCATTAAAGTCGTATTATAATACTTTATAATTCCATTCCGTGATGCAAATAATCGATTATCTTTGTTTACATAAAGTGAGCAGGACTTGGTATATATATTTTGTGTCTCTTTAGGTTTAAGTTGTTAACGTTGTTGGGTAGATCAAAATGGACGTAAACAAAATTCAAGAAAACGAATTACGTGACCCTAATTTTCAATATGGTCGTTGGTTGTCCTCTCCTCCAGCTGGTGAAGAAGTGGTCATATCTGGCATGTCTGGTCGTTTTCCAGAATCTGATAATGTCTACGAGTTTCGTGACAATCTGTTTAACAAAACGCTGATGGTTACAGAAAATGAGAAAAGGTGGAAAATCAATCATCCTGATCTACCGAAGCGAAGTGCTCACATTAATAATATTAATAAACTAGACGCTGGTTATTTTGGGCTACATTATCGTCAAGCTGACAATTTAGATCCTGGCATGAGAGTTTTGATGGAAACGGTCATGGAAGCTATTATGGATGCTGGAGTAAATCCGTTAGAGCTTGAAGGAAGCAAAACTGGTGTATTCATCGGTTTCTCTTATTCAGACGTGGAAAATCTTACCTATACCAGTATGACGGAATCGCAAAAGTTTACCATTACAGGGTAAGAAAATTTAATAATTTCAATTCAAATTTGAGAAACACTGTAATATTTTCACTGAAGCTAGTTTATATTGACACATACATATTAAATTTTTTGACATGTAAAACTATCCTAAAATAATGTCCGGTAGGCAGATAACAATTTTCTCATGTATTTTTCAAAATAAATGAAAGATACACGTTCTATTTCTATATGATACCAACAGTTTCCTTTGTGTAATGTGAAGTAGTCGCAACCGGGAGGGATATTTTGTTTGAATAGTTTTAGATCAATTTTTAACAGGAGTTTGTACATATAAAGTGATTCAGTTAATAATAAAATATACTAAATTATTATAAACAATGCATTTCTTTCAGTTATTTTAAATCTTTGTTTGCTCATCGCCTCAGTTATTATTTGAAACTAAAAGGACCATCATTCGTGGCTGACACGGCTTGTAGCAGTTCCGGGAATGCTCTTCATTCAGCATTTAAATCAATGAGAAGTGGTCAATGTGAGGCTGCAATAGTCGCTACCTGCAATTTGACTATCCATCCTGGAACTACAATTCAATTTTTTCGGTACAATTGTTCATCTAAGATAATCATTTCTTTATTACAGCAATACATTTTAGGTTAGGAGTTTTAAGTCCGGAAGGAATACCCAAAGTTTTCGATCAAGACGCAGACGGTTATGTTAGAAGTGAGGCTTGCACTTGTCTTTTGCTCCAAAAGTCTAATAATGCGAAACGAATTTACGCACGAATTGTTAATACAAAAGTGAACTGCGACGGATTTAAAAAGGAAGGGATAACATATCCTTCTTCGCAAATGCAGAAAGAGCTTATGACTGAAATATACAAAGAAAGTGGTATTAACCCTCCAGAACTGAGCTACGTCGAAACACATGGCACTGGCACTCAAGCTGGAGATCCTGAAGAGGTTAATGCTATAGACGGGGCTCTGGCGAAGAAATGTGGAAAAGAGCTTCTCGTGGGATCAGTAAAATCAAACATGGGTCATACAGAACCTGCATCAGGTCTGTGTTCAATTGTAAAAGTACTGATTGCAATGGAAACCAGATCTATACCACCTAACATCAACTTGAAAAGAATTCGAAAAGGACTGGAAGGAATTGAACAAAAGCGAATGAAAATTGTGACAGAAGCCACTGAGCTTTTAGAACATGATGCCATTGTAGGTGTTAACAACTTTGGTTTCGGAGGTAACAACTGTCATGTGATATTGCAAAGGTTTAAAAAACAGAAAATCAATGGTGGACTTCCAAAAGATGATGTTCCTAGATTAATTTGTGTCAGTGGTCGCACTAATGAAGCGGTTTTGAAAATTTTAAACGATGTTAGCAGCAACAACTTGGATGAAGAATACGTCGGTCTCCTCCATCAGTTATATAAAATTAATAACCCAAATCATTTATATCGAGGATATGCAGTAATTTCCAAACGTGGTATTGTATCCATGTCATCCAAATTATTGCCTTCGCGCAGACCATCTTTGTGTGTATTTTTTGGACAATTCGTCAATAATTTTCACATACTGGCGTCTTACTTAAAGAAGTTTTCGATCTTCGAATACATCGAAACAAGGTACGTTAAGATTTCATTTCTGGGACCTTAATTAAGACATTTTTTTTCTTGGCGAAAGGGTTAATCAAATTTTGGTACACAACAAAGTAAGAACACTTAAAGAAATTTTAGAAAGAAAGAGAAATGTAGATGAAGACACATTAGGGTCAATATGTTTGCAATTAATTTTGGTAGATATTCTCAAGGAGTTGGAATTGTTTCCTATTAGAGTTTTCGGTGAAACTTCTGGCAAAATCGCTACTGCTTACCATTATAACGTTATTCAACTGAACGAGGCCGTGTCAGCAGCGATAAAACTTAGTAAAGTAAATTCTAATTCAAAAGATAAAAACATATCAAAGGAGGATTATTCAATTTACCCAAATTCTTATAAACCATCGAAAAGCACAGTGGTACTTAATATATCTGATCTACGTCTCAATGATGGAGATAACTTACTGGTAGAAAATGGTAGCGTCAATTTACTGGGTACGTTAGGAAGGTAAGAATTTCGTACCAATGAAATTTAGAGAAAATAAGTTAAATTCGTAGATTATATACAGAAGGTCATCTTCCTCAAGTTCATAAACTGTATCCACAAGTAGAATTCCCTGTAAGTACAGGCACCTCCATGATTTCACCTTCAATTCAATGGAATCACGAAAAATCATGGTATACCTATAAATTTAGTGAATTTACATCATCGGAAGCTGAGCAGAAAGAATACAGAATTTCATACTTACACGAGGAACACCGGTTTATGAAAGGCCATTTCATCGATGGTAATACGTTTAAATTAACACTAAAAAATATACCATATGATCGAAAAAAAAAGGCGTCTCGCAATCTCTGAAATTTAAAATTTAAAAACTGCTCTAATTCGTGTTAGTCAGTTTGACGTTTGCGTTTCTTGATTGTACGCTGGGAATTTTTTATTACGGTATCGCCACGTAACTGATTTATAGAAGGTATTAATAAATTATCTATACATATTTTTAAATTAAATGATGATTTGTCGTTCCCGGTCACGACACATTTTATGTACAACGTAATGAAAGAAATAATTGACGAATTCCAAATGGTTTTTCTGTTTGCTGTGAAAGGTTATGATCAGAGTTAGGCACAGCCGAGGTGATGAAGAATCAATCAGACAAATATTAAAAACGACGACGCGATGTCAGGTAGTCTCACCCTCTGTGGCATTTGATGCAATTCAGGGCTTATCTGATCAAAGTCATCACGAAAATGGTGATGTTGTGCAGAAATTTTTAATTTTTAAAGCATTTTAACATCTAGGAGAACTCGTGAAACTTAGGAAAACCTAGAAAAAGTAGTAATTGTTGTTAAGAATTCTCGAAGTTGTAAGCCACGACTGCAATAGCGCTGGCGATCGGACTTAAATGAGTATCACTTCCACCAAAGTCTGGTTATGATAGTGCTTTTGGGTGAACGAATCATACGTTCCTCCAACTTTTCTGAGTTTTCGTTTGTTGTCTCTTTTTTGATCTTCGGGTTCTTGAAATTTGTTGGGAAATTAAAAATAAAAAATGTCAAAAAACTGCAACGGTACCTAGTATAAATGTTTTAATAAATTTGGTGACTCACTAATAACCTTTTTTTCGATCATATGATACTAACGTGATAAACAACGTTTTTAGGGCGTAACCTTTTCCCTGCTACCGAATATTTACATTTAGTTTGGCAAACATACGCACAGAGTCGACGATTATTAACCATCGATATTCCTGTCTTATTTGAAAACTGTAAATTTATCAGAGCTGTTACATTGCCTAAGAGTGGTTACGTAAAATTGCTTATAACTATTCAAAGGGGCACAGGCAATTTTGAAATTCTAGAGAAAGATTCGTTAGTAGTTAGTGGTCGTATCCAAATTTGTCCAAATGCAAACAAGCAACAAAATATATTACCAAAACTTAATTCCTTCAATGACGATAAATTGGAAATGTTGGAACAAGACGAAATTTACCGAGAATTTTACCTAAGGGGTTACAATTACAGGTTATTTTGATTATGGCGAGACACAATTTGCTACATAGGTATTTTTAGTGGTTTATTCAAATCAATTAAACGATGCAATGTAGACGCTTCTGCCGGTCTGATTAAATGGGAGGACAACTGGAGTGCTTTTATGGATAATATGCTTCAAATGAAAATTCTTCAGTCTGACACAAGGTTGCTTTTCGTTCCTGTTGCCATTAAGAAAATAATTATAGATCCCATAAAACACGTAGAAATTGTCAACCAACAGGATACAGAAGAATGTGTTCTACCTGTCTATGGGAATAAGAATTGCAACTTGATCCAGTAAATAAACTATTCACTAATATATTACATTAAAAAAATAATTTTATCTTGTCTAGGTCCGGTGGAATTGAAATACATGGAGTCCAAGTAAAATCTATTTTCAAGAAAAAACCACCACTGGAACCAGTTTTAGAAAAGAACGTATTTATTCCAAACAATTTATCGTTAGGATTAGAAGAAGCCGTGAGAGTCAACACGCAAATTATCTTAGAAAATAGTTTAGAGAACAATTTCAAAGCTGTGGAAATCGTAAACGAATTCACGGATATAAATGCGGAACACATCTTGGGTTTCGTTAATAAAACCTTAGAAGATATTCCTGTAGTAACTCCAGATCTAACCATTTCATCAGGAACCACGACAAATGAGACACCTGGAATAAAATTTGAAACTGTCACGTTAACATCTCAAAGTAGCATCCTTTTGTATATTGGCAGTAAAATTCTAGAACAATCAAATGCTTTAAAACAAATTTTTGCACCCGTTAGCAGAAACGGATTTATCCTAACACGGGAAGATATTGGCTTCAATTTAGAAAAAGATCTTACTGAAGCAGATATTCTAACTGATTATGTAACACCAAACGAAAGAATAATTTTATTGCGAAGAAAAGTGGAAAATGTTAATCAGGAGTTTATTGAAATATCTTCTAGTAGTTTCAACTGGATTTCAGAGCTTCAAAACGCGTTAAGTGTCGGAAAAGATGTTATAGCGTATGCGACCAACAGAGATCCCGAAGGAATACTGGGTTTGATAAATTGCATCAGGCGAGAAACCAGTGGAAATTTAGTTAAGTGTTTCTTTATGATGGACGACGCTCCGAAATTTGATCCCCAACATCCGTTCTACAGTAAACAAATTAGTAAAAACTTGGCTGTAAACATTTATAAGGACAAATCGTGGGGAACGTATCGTCATTTGGTTTTGGAGGAGAGGACGAAGATTAACTGTGAACATTCTTATGCTCATTTTAAAAGTAGAGGAGACATATCCAGTTTCGAATGGTTAGAGGGGCATTTATCTGAAGAAGTACCACTAAAAGAAGGACAACTTTTGGTTCCAGTAAGTTACATAAAATATAGTTCTATGGAAATGATTGCTGTTTGCAGACATATTATGCGTCAATTAACTTTAAAGATATAATGGCGGCCTCTGGGCGTGTAAATCCTGAAATGATACAATCACATCGACTTGGCCAAGAGATTCTAATAGGATTTGAATTTTCAGGAAAAGATTTAAGGTGGTATTATTTATTTGAAAAAACTAAGTTACACACATTATTCACAGTGGGCGTAGAATAGCTGCAATGACAAACAATCAAGGTATTTCTTCCCATGTTACTCTCGATTCTTCCTTAGTTTGGAAAATACCGGACTCATGGACACTCGAAGATGCAGCAACGGTTCCTGTTGTCTATTCCACTGTTATTTATGCTCTTTTAATGGTATCTACGCACGAAAAAATTAATTTCTCTAATAGTGTATTTTTTTAAGGTTGGCGATTTGAAACCGGGTTCCTCAGTTCTTATTCACTCCGCTACTGGTGGTATTGGATTGGCTGCCTTGAACATTTGCTTTCACTATAAATGCGAAATTTATGTAACCGTTGGCACTCAAGAAAAACGAGCATATTTAAAAAAAAATTATCCACAAATTCCAGACAATCATATTGGGAATTCACGAGACACCTCATTTGAGCAAATGATCCGAAGGGAAACTCGGAATAAAGGGGTTGACATGATTTTGAACTCCCTAAGTGAGGATAAATTGCAGGCTTCGATTAGGTGTTTAGCACGAGGAGGAAAGTTTATGGAAATTGGCAAATACGATCTGGCAAATGATAGTTCTTTGAATCTTTTGTTCATGGAAAAAGAGGCTACCTATCACGGCATATTATTAGATGAAGTTTTTAATAACTTTAAAGAAATGAAGCTTAAGGTGGTTGAACATTTAATGGATGGAATTGAAGCAGGTTTTGTAAAACCACTTCCCAGGATTGTGTTCAGGGCAGATGAAGTTGAAAAATCGTACAGATACATGATGACAGGTAAACATATTGGTAGGATATTGATCAAGCTGCGGAATGAAGAAGAAGAAGATAGTGTCAGTAAATTCCAGATTATGTCAAATCCACGGTAAGTTAACAATGAGATAATATCTTTGTCCACAATTTTCTATCTATAATAATCAAACAATTCTTTTAAGTTTCCACTGTGACGTACGTTACACCTACATTGTTATTGGAGGGCTAGGTGGAGTTGGTTTAGAATTAGGCGACTGGTTGATTTTGAGAGGTGCAAGAAAACTAGTACTAACTTCAAGATCGGGTATACAAAATGGTCACCATCAGCAAAGAATAAAGTAAAATATAATCTCTTCACACAGTAAAGTTAGACAGTAGCAATTTTAGCATTTGGACAACATACGGCGTCGAAGTTAAAATTTCTACAAAAGACGTAACCACTGAAAGAGGATGTGAAGATTTAATTAAAGAAGCGAATAAGCTTGGACCTGTCGATGCTATTTTTAACTTAGCTGTGGTCCTTAAGGATACTCTCTTTGAAAACCAAACACATGAAAATTTCGAAACTTCCTTGGCACCAAAAGCTCGCGCTACACTCTATTTGGATCGAGTCACTAGAAAATTGTGTCCAAAACTAAGGTTTACTTACAACTTAGAGACAACATTAGACTCTGGTGATGTATTTTAGGTACTTTGTTATATTTTCGTCAGTATCATGTGGACGTGGGAATCCCGGTCAGAGCAACTACGGTATGGCAAACTCTGTTATGGAAAGGATATGTGAGAATCGAAAGCGAGAAGGATTACCAGCGGTAGCTATCCAGTGGGGTGCAATCGGTGAAGTACTCAACACATTTTTAAAAATTCTTTAAGATTGCAAATATTTTAAAGGTTGGTTTGGTGGCGAAAATGCAAAAGGAGAATAAAGAGTTAGTGATTGGTGGTACTCTTCAACAAAAAATTTCAAGTTGTCTTGAAGTATTGGATGTGTTATTGAAACACAAATATCCAGTTGTTTCTAGTATGGTGGTTGCCAAAAAATACGACAAAAGCGATAATCTTAGTGCAGTAGAAGCGGTTGCACATGTTGTAGGAATAAAAGACATGAAAACTATAAGTCAATATACGACATTTGCGGAACTCGGTATGGATTCGCTAATGGGAACTGAGATTATTCAACTTTTAGAGAAAGATTTTGGGATCTATGTAACATCCAAAGATGTGAGAAGTTTAACATTTGCAAAGTAATTATTATGTGATTGCGAAAATGTTGTAATTTATTGCTAAACTTTAGATTGACTGAAATGGAGGCAGAGAAAATGAAAGCATCTGGAGAAGTTGTAAACCAAAAAATAGAAGAAGGCACAAATTTGCTTATTCAGAGCATTCCCAATAGCGAAACTATCCATCTGCCTGTTGTTAAATTCAATAGTCAAGTGGAACCACATGTGGAAGCTCCTATAGTATTGGTGTTACCAGGAGTAGAAGGCATCTTCACACCACTAGAATATTTAACGAATTCATTGAAAGCCCACGTAATAGGAGTCCAGTACACCTATAAAAATTCAGAGGACTCTATTGAAGAACTTGCACAGAATACACTCCCGGTTCGTTAAAATTTATACACGTATGTGAAAGTTTATTCATTTAATATGATAATATTTTCAGCACATCGAAAATTATTTAACCAGAACCACCCCCTTTTACATTATTGGATATTCATTTGGAACTCTAGTCGCTCTAGAAATGATCAGCTTGCTAGAAAAGAATGGCTACACTGGTATTCTGATTTTAATCGACGGTTCACCAGCTTATTCAACTTCTTCTTTAAAAAAGCAATTTGCGCATGAAACGGAAGCTCAATTCCAAACTGCTATTTTGAGCAAAATTGCTTCTTTCGTGATTTCGTTGGATGTATTTTCGCAATATGAGGTAACTGGTTATTAGATTATTTCTAATTACATGATTAAAGTGGGTATGTGTTTATTTCAGGAAACTTTACTGAAATGTAAAGATTTTGAAGAAAGAATCAATTTGTTTTTGGCGCTGATACCCCCCGAAACAAATAACAAACAAAAGTTAGAAAAGCGGGCAGGTGTTGCACTATACCACCGTTGCAAAGCTTTACTTAACTATACATTTAAAAATAAGAAAATTAAATCATCAGTGCATCTGTTCAAGGCAAAACATTCCATGGTTGACGAAGAGGATGATTATCAATTATCAAAAATAAGCGAAAACCTAGCGGAAGTAATTACGATAGATGGTGACCATGTAACAATTTTAAAGAACCCAGATCTTGTGAAAGGTGTTAATGAAATCGTAGTCCAGAAATAATAATTCGGGATAAAATAAACATTTTCCTTTCTTTTTTCTTTACTTTTTACCTTTTTACCTGGGGTTTACGTACTTGATATTTTCTTAATGAAAGAATGAAATATTTTAACTTTGCACTCACTATGTAGTTATGTGGGACACCAGGCCGGAAAATGCATGTTTCCGAATATGAAAATCATTGTGGAATCGAAACGCCAGTCACAGTAGAGGAACACGAATACATACAAAAATTGTGTTTGGCATGTATTATAGTTATGAAGGTATTTAGGGCGTTATGAAATAAATAACGCGCGAGGTCGACAATGTACTTCCGAGGGCGTCCCGCCCACGGGAAAGTACGTCGGCCGAGGGTGTTATGTTCATAACCCCCGTGGTGCCTTCAACATTTTATGTCATCCTTACCAGCAAAAGTTTATAAATAAACACAAAATTCCAAAAAAAAGCTTATTGCCGTAATTTAACGGAAAAATCGACCTACTTTGGTCACTAGCAACGGCGTTGTTTACTAAATGAAAAATCGTATTTATAGAAATCAAATAAAAGTTCAAAGTAAATTAATTCGACATTTTTGACAATAGAAGTGCATATTCATTTATAGCAGGTGGTTAAATATTTATGAAATTCTTACATAGCACCTGCGTTTTGTGTACGTGACACGATGACTTGCAAATTATATATTAATAGCTAGAGACAGATTTACTTTGTGGTGAGATATTTTAAGAAGAAAGTATTAAAAATGTTAAATAGTGTTACAAAGTAAAGGCTTGGTAATTTAAGTACATTGCAAGGAAACAACAATTACAATTTGCCCTTTGAAGTTATGTCAAACAGTGATATTCAAACAAACTATTTTCACTAGTATTTGTTATTGTAACGAAAATCTAAATTCATGTTTTCTTAAGGGTGTCATAACTTCACATCTAATAATCTAATTTCTTCGCCAACATGGTACAATAAATTAATCAATACAATAAAAAAAAAACAAAATCATAAAATCGTCGTTAGCCTTGACAATACTATCCTGTCATAGTCCTAGCGTAGGACACTTTCTTCAAAAATTACACTAGTGCCCAATCATTGTAAAAATGATAAAACTGAGGGTACATAAATTGAAACAGATTGATTTAAATGCTGTTTCCAAATAGTTCACCGAAAATTCTATAAATAACAATACTCCGATTTAGTAATTGTAATAGTGAATACATTATGAAAGTTTTTTCAAAAATTTAAATAAAAAATTACATTATTGAAAAAAGGTCAAATTAACACTTAAAAAACCATAATTTCACAACAAATCTCCGAAAGTTTATCCATTTACTTCCTGGTAGTAGTAAATAGGTTGCACAAAGTTTTCAAATGAATCTGTCAGAATATTAGGAAGAATATCAACACAACAATCACATTTAATATTCTTAGTTGGAGTTCTGCTATGTTGTTATGTGGTCTATTAGCATAAATCCGATTTTTTACATAACCCCACTGAAAAAAGTCAAGTGGGGTTACATCGGTGACCTACACCTATCCAAAATGTTGCAAAAATTTCCTCCCAAATGTAGTAAATGGTGTCCAAGTTAAAATGTTTTTGGATTTGATAAAGTATATTTTAGACTGAATAGGTAGAATACTGAGGTACTTTACAATTTTTAATTTGTTAAGTAGCAATTATAAGTTCAAATTTTCAAATTAATTAAAAAATTCGTTTTAAGTCTGATGAATTTTAGGGTATTATATATTAACTGTATTAAGTAAACGTTTTACATATTCTTGAATATTTTTAATGATTATATTTTAGGAATCAGAAATAAACCCCATAATTCGATTTTGTCGTTCTTGTACTGCTGTTAAAACCATTTTCTTTAATTGCTTGAAATCCAGTTAAATAAAATAAAAAATAATATATGATATACGGACGAAATAATATATATTTAAGTATTAAGAACGGTAAGGGTCGAAGACAAAACCATCAAACAGGGTCTAAATCGAGAGTACTTCGGAGTCATAAATCAAGTTAGTTAGTTCTTTCTATCTATTTGAGTGATGAAAATGTTTAAGGTCGCTTCTCCCCGAATGGATTAAATATTGTAAATGACCTATTATCAATATCCAGTGAGAAGTTATAAAGTGGATAATGTAATTCATAATTTAAGTAAAAACATTCAGGACTTTTCCACACAGCGTTTATTAAAGTAGATTGAGCCTGAATAAGTAGAATTTCCGCCACGTGTTTTATATTAACATTTACATCATTGCAGTTACTTTGACTTAGAACCATGAAGAATTAAATTATCAGCATGAACTATGAATTTACAAACAATGAACCAAAATAATACGTGATGACGTTAGCGTCAAAACTTCACAACATTTCAGACGTTGTTTTCATTTTACTTTTATGGTCTTTATCTTTTAAAGAAATGCAGTTTTTGTTGTTAACGAATTTGTGGCATTTTGGTAAACAACATGTTTCTGTTATGTATAGTAATTATAATTTATTTCGTTGTTCTTATTTTTTTACGTTTTTAAATAAATTTTGTGAATTCATGTTTTTGTTGTTGTCTTTATTTAATTTTACATTTAAAACAGACGTGATCGAAGTTTAAACGATCCGGTAATTAATTTGTAAGAAAAGCAGGCAGGTGTTGCACTATACCACCGTTGTAAAGCTGTGCTTGACTATACATTTAAAAATAAGAAAATTAAATCGTCAGTGCATCTGTTCAAGGCAAAATATTCCATGGTCGAGGAAGAGGATGATTATCAATTATCAAAAATAAGGGAAAACCTAGCGGAAGTAATTACGATAGATGGTGACCATGTAACAATTTTAAAGAACCCAGGTCTTGTAAAAGGTGTTAACGAAATCGTAGCCCAGAAATAATAATTTGAAATAAAATAATGGTTTTCCTTTGTTTGTTTTTATCTGTGGTTTACTTATTTTAAGTTAGCACTAACTATGTAGTTATGTCGGACATGCATATTTGCGAGTATGAAAATCATTGCGGAGCCGAGACGCTATTATTACGGATTTATTTACCAAATATTTGAAAATGGAACCCAGAGCAAGATATTTTGATAAAAAATCTGAATTAAAGTAACTGGATGCAAATACACAAGTTATTACGGACGTGTGGCGGCAAACAAGAAAACAAGCGGCACCTGAGCGCTATAAGAGTGTGGCGATCGAACTGCCTCAATTTCATTCTAGGGAATACAAAATTACCCATAGGGGGCGTTGTAACCTTAGATCAAATAATAAATAGATACCACCACGCCGTATTCTTTCCCTAAGAGAGACTGTGACGACATCCTCCTCTCACACATATCTCTTGTGCATGGAGGGATTACAATGAAGCTATCCTTGCCTGATCACTATTTGAATTTTGCGCGCCTAAATTTTAGGAAGTATGTCTGAACTAACTTCGTACGAAAGATGTTGACAGCTTGATTTTATAAATAATTCACAGTCGATAACGAAAGGAATAGTAAATTATTGGGCAGCAATTGTGATCCTTTATGATTGCATCACTTAAAATAGGATTTTTGTTCTAAATTCTAAAATTGTTTTTCCTACAAGAACACGAAAGTGATTTGTTGCGCTAGTGCGGTACAAGGATGGAAGTGAAATAGACATATACAGATGAAATGCACATAACAAAGATGAAGATGTGGTGATCACACAAGGATAGCATTATACTGCTCCCCTTGACGTAGAAAACGACAACAGATAGCTTCATGTCTAGTCACAGCTTTCAGTTTGAGTATTGGTATCTATTTATTATATGATCTAAGGTTGTAACACGAGTGGAGTTTGGGACTCCTAGTTGTGGCTGTTCTCCCACCACGACGGTGATTTTACTCTATCGGCAAGCACGGTTGCAAACTCGTGGTTGAAAATCCCGGCACAAGCCGCGAGCATCACGTCATCCCGACCGCTCCCCTGACTTCTCAAGGTCTGCGTCTTTTGTGCAGATGACCAGCTCTTCAAAGAACCGCGCACTCCGCTTCCTCAACCTGTTTCTGTGTTATTTACCTTAATTTCATTTAAATGTTCGATTTCTATAACCCTGATATTAAACGACAACCGAACAAGTGTTAAAGTTTCAAAAAAAAGCAATAAACAACATTTAAATTCGCCATACACTCTCGTGAAATTTTAAACAGCAAAGAATTCTTTTCTGAGATTAAGCCTGGACATCAGATAATTTATATTATGGAAACATTACACAACAAAATATTTACGTGGTGGAAATAACTAGCAAAGATTTATAAAAAATGACAAATACATAATAATCGAACGCGATAAATTGTTAATGGCCTGGGCCAAATTGTTTTGGCTCGATATAAGTTGCCGAATCTCGTTGTTCTCCGTTATAACAGGTTTTCTTCTCCTAACTGCTTTCTTGGGAAATCTTTTTCCGGTCTGAGGTGGTGGTGAGGGTTGGGGTGTTAATTGCACCACTCTGATAACTTCATTATTGTTTGTATCTCTTTCAAAATTTTCATCTTCAATATTTTCTTCCATTTCGCGTTCTTCTGATATTGCTGGTTCCATTATTTCTGGCATGCCTTCAACAGTTACTTTATTCAAGAGAATCAACAATCTTTCTTCCAACGGGGTAAACTCTATCTTTTTTTAAAGAACTAATGTAGCAGGCAAAAACTTTTGACAATGTATTATTATTATTGTCAGAATTAATTTGTTAACTCGATCGTCTGAATATTTCCAAGTTTTCAAGTAATTGAATAACAAAGATGGAAGTCTAGCATTTAGTGCGATAGAAAATGATAGATATTGAAAGTCGATCTGACAACCTTGTATATTTTAACACCTCTGTTATAAATTGCAAATTTAATCAGGTATGTTAAAAATGGTGATAAAGAATATCAGTTATGTTCATGTTATAATTTAACTTTATCAAGGGTGTTAACTTTAACATAAAATTTACAGAATAGGCGATTAACATATGGACACATTTAATACACTACTCAAACATAAAGTACCAGTATGAAGTTAAAACTAATTTATTTCATCCTACCTTTAGCTGCAGGTTATACATCCAAAATTTTTACAAATGTGGCTAGCACTGCGTCTAATTTATTAACATCACGATGTTTCCACCAGCTGCAAGCACTTATCGACGGCTTAAATTCAAGTCATGTTTCATGGGCTTTTCAAAGTAAGTAATAATCGAGAAAACGACATCTTCTAAACTAGCTTATTTTAAGTGGTGAACGCCACTTCGAAAGTACCACTAAATTTCGCTACGTTAAAATTTGGAGATTTTGGTAATTTTCGACAGTGTATAAATTCTAAAACAAATACTTTCCATGAGGGGGACGTAGTTGGAAAGTACTGCTTTGGTTTCATATTTAACAGGAATTCGGTATTTCAGCACGAATTTTTTGATTTATTTTTTAATGTCATTGTTAGACTTTTGATTCACCACCCTCCAGACCACCATATTGGGCGCTATGTGTACCAGATGGCTGTAACACAGGAGACGTTAATATCACTGTGAATTCCATATTGATGGGTTCATTAGGGACCGAAAACCATGTTAGAATAAAATTTCCAGAATTTCTCTGCCAAGCTCTAGACGACGTAGAAGTACTCCCAGCGAGAGCAATCTTGACGATGTACCAGTTTAGTCTTTAAAAGGTTTTTAATAAGAAATAGTTTTCAGTTTTCTGCTGATTATTCTTTCGTTCATCATTTTTGTGTCAACTCTGTGCGACGTTAATGATTTAAGTGAGTCTTTTTCTCTTTTCGTGCAACAACTCTTCCTTAGAATTCTGTCCCATCATTGTTAAAAGCTTTTCTGCGTACACCCAAGGCAAAAAAATATTTAAAATGGATAAGCCCAACAGTCATCATTTACCCTGCCTTGATGGTTTAAAGGTTCTCAGCATGATGTGGGTGATTATGTTCCACCAGTACCTCATAATGTTAACTAATCCTTCGGAAACATCGGAGTATTTGAAAGAAAGGGTTGACGATATTTCTAGTAAGTTGATAATAAATGGGACTCTCGCAGTGGACACTTTTTTCACCATTAGTGGTCTTCTACTGTCATACAATTTTATGACTACTAGACATGAAAAAATAGGTTTTAGTGTATTTGATCATTACGTACATAGATACCTAAGGTAATTAGACCCAAGCTTAAACCAAATATTTATAACTTAAGCGTAGATTAACAGTACCGTATGCCCTAACAATGTTAGTTGTTGCCGCAGTGACACCCTATCTAGCTGAAGGACCTCTGTGGCCCCTTCTTGTAAAGTCGTTTCAAAGTTCATGCCAACAAAACTGGTGGTCTTGCCTTTTGTACATCCAGAATTATATCGACGCCAACAAGATTGTGAGTACCGGACAAAATAATTTGTAATTACAAACATTTTAGTGCCTCCCCCAGGCTTGGTATTTAATGGCAGACATGCAATTATTTCTAACATCACCTATGGTACTTTTTGGATTATGGAAATTTACCAAAATAGCGATAGTTCTGTTAGGATGGTGTTGTTTAGTATCTGCTTTGATTGGTTTTTATACGATATGGAGAGATAAGCTGCCCGCAGTAATGCATAGAAATTATTTTTCTGACCATAAAGGTTTGCTAAAAGTGAAAATATATCACGAAAATTATTACGCAGTACCGCATACTCGAGCTACTCCTTGGATCGTAGGAATCATCACAGGCTATTTAATCTTCAAAGTGAAACGAGAACGACGTTATTTAGTGATTAAGAGGAAATATTTATTATGTTTTTGGTTGTTATATACCGGAATGTTAGTGGCCTGTGTATTCGGGTCACCACGAGATCTGCCAGATCAAGAATATAACGCGTTTTACGATGGCTTTTATGCTGCGTTCGCAAAACCTGCCTGGGTTTTTGCTATTGCATGGATTATTTCGGCTTGTGCTACCAACAATGCTGGTGAGTTTGACTTCAAAAAAATAGCTGAACCAGTAAAATGATTTAGGTCCGGTTAATAGGATACTTTCGTCGACAATTTTTGAAGTACTCAATAAGTTCACTTACAGCATGTTCCTTAGCCATGTCACAGTTCTAAGTTTTAGTCTGAATAGATACATATTGAGGTACTTTACAATTTTTAATTTGGTACGTAGCAATAATACGTTCAATTTTTTAAATTAATTAAGTTTTAAGTTTTATGAACTTTGGGGCACTGTTGCATACAGTGCTTTGATTTCAGTCTTCTTAGTTTTTGCTGTCGAAGCTCCTGTGACAACTTTATTGGGTAAATATTTTACGTATTGCTGAACATTTTTAATGCTTATATTTTAGGAAGAATTAGAAGTAAACCCTAAAATTAGATTTTGGCGTTCTAGTACTGCTGCTTCTAATAAATTAGTGTGAACTAAATTATTGTAATCCAATTTTTTTTTAATTTCTTGAAATCCAGTTAAATAAAAAATAAAGTATGATAAAGCGACAAAATAATATATTAATGGATCAACGTTTAAGATTAAATACCGTAAGTGACCTATTACCAATCTACAGTGAGAAATTATGGAAAGAGGATAATGTAATTTAAGTAAACACATGCAGGCAGAACTTTTCCATGTAGCATTTATTAAAAAAGTTGAGCCTGAATAAGTGAATTTCCACCACGTGTTTTACATTAACATTTACATCATTGGAGTTATATTGTCTTAGAACCATGAATAAAATTTAAAATATCAGCATGAACTGCGAATTTACAAACAATAAAGCAAAAATAATACGTGTTGGTGCCATCGTCAAAACCAGGTTTCAAGGTTAACTCTTGTTGTATTATCTTTTAAAGAAATACGATGCTTGTTGTTGTTATTAACGAATTTGTGGAAATGTGGTAAACATCATGTTACTGTCATTGTTTTTATTTTTCTTCACCTCTAATACATAATTGTAAATTTCCTAAGTCTGTTAAATTACCTTCTTAATTAATTCGCTACTTAATTTAGTTTCACTGTTCTGTGCGCAAAACATTTGATAAGCGAGATTTTGTAAAGAAGTGAAAAAGGCAATACATTAAAAAATTACGGTCAAAAATCATAGCAAAATGAGGTGTTATTGGGCATTATTGCCGGAATTTTTCTCAAGCCGCTTGAATCGGATACTCTCACACACCGTTTACCTCTGGACATTTCGACAATACAATTATATACTCTTTCTGTTCCAACAGAAATGCCATGAAAACACCTTTGTTTGGTGTGAGATTAAATGTCGATTTCTGATAAATAAGTACATAAAGAAATACTGAAAACAAATGTTTCAAATGTATGAAAACTCATTAACTTAAATTTAATCGAATGTAATAAAATATTTGTTGACAACAAAAGTGCGTACTCATCGCGAGCAGTTTGGACAGGTAGGTTAAGTATTAAATTCTTATGTAATAATACACCTGTGCTTTGTGCATGTGGCACGGTAATTTGCAAGTTAAATACTCATTAATACTAAGGACTAGATTTATTTTGTTTCATTCAATACAGTAAATAAATAAATAAATAAATAAATAAAAATTTTAATTCAAAATTAAAGTTGCATGAAGAATACAATACAATACATATTAAATCTGTGAGTGTTAAAAATAATGTTAAAAAAATTATACAATTTAAAGTACATTATTACAGTGAGGTGGTGGTCGCTGACGTTAAAGAGCAAAGGCCTGTAGTTCAAAGTAATTTAAACACATTGCACGGAAATTACAGTTCCAAGGACTGCATATGCATTTTGAACTTATTAAAAAAAAAATTGAATTGAATAAGATGCCTGGTATTTCACAGTTTGTACCTTCGTGAGCTTCCTGAACGTAAGACCCCTAGCGTACGAAAAAGTAGTCTCCCGTTTCCGTCTGTCTGTCTGTTTGTTTGGCGTCTGTGTCGATTTTTATCAAACACGTAGTCTCCGAAACTTGTTGGCAAATTTTGTACGTTTATTAGGAATATCACGTAGATGGCAAAAGGCTAACCAAAATTTGGTTAATCATCCCCACCAACTATTTGATGACGTGATTTCAAAGAATTCTATTTTAAAATGGTTAAAATTTTTTAGTAATATACTCCTATTCTTGTGGTGTACGGATCCGCTTCAGTAAACGTTTGATGCCAAACCTGGCCGGTTCTATTTTTCTCTTTTTTTAGTCCTCATTTAAAGCTAAAGCTTGTTATTATTGCTGAGAGACCATTTTTCCTATTGGTCGGATGTTTTAAATATATTTTACATTGTCCGTATTTGTGCAGTTTGCATAATCCTTAGCGATTTACGTTGTTCGTTGGCAAGGGTGGCATGTACATATTAAAGTGTTAACAGCTGATTTGAATTGTTTTAGCAACTAGAACTCATTAAAACGACCATACTATAACACACTGCAGCCCCCCTCAATTTCGGCTATGCGCTTTATAAATAAGTGTGCACTTCCTAGTCAAACTAATCGAATATTTTAATACACAATAATACTTAATATATCCGATCTACAGCTCAATGATCAAGGCAACTTACTAGTACAAAATAGTAGCGTCAATTTACTGGGTCTGTTAGGAAGGCAAAAATTTCGTATCAGAAAAACTCAGGGAAAATTAGTTAAATTTGTAGATTACGTACACTAGGTTATCTTCCTCAAGTTCATAAACTGTATCCAGAAGTATTGATTGATTTATGATGAACAAAGGAATACTAAAACAAATGTTTCAAATTCGGTGACAATAGAAGTACATATTCATCAAGAGCAGGTGAACACTCTGGCTAAATATTGTGAATGTGATAAGATGATTTGCAAATTATAGACTCATTAAAATTAAGAGGTAAAAGCCGATTTACTTTGTATACTTCAGTAGTCATGAAAATCAGTGGGATGAGGTCTCTTATAGTAGATACCTACTGAATAAGGAATAGTAACAAATCAAAATTTCAGAAAGCTTTCTCCGTCTACGTGATACCTTATGATCCGTAAAATTTAAAATGTTCATGTTTTTGTGGACTTTTGCTTAGTCTTAAAGAAAATACGGTAAGATATTTTTTGACAGTCGTTTTATCACCATTTAAGACCGCTGTGCGAGCAATAGTCAAGGTTAACGCTCTGATTATATACATAGGTACTACATATTTAAATTTGTTTGCATTTATTGCATGTTAATGTTAAGTGCACTTTTATGCATATTGGTGTATTGTAATTGGTGAAAATTTTAATTTTAATGCAGTTGGTTATTGGCAGTATTCAAGTAAATAATTAGGTACCGACATTTTCTAATAATGCGGAGGGTTTTTTCCAAGACTTCATTTATGGACACCCCAATTAGGTGCATTACTGGAATTCTTTACTCAACGGCATCTAAGCCGGATGGATTCATTCATCATTCGTCTACGAACTTGGCCACAGAACACCGCTATTACGAATAATTAAAAAAATGTCTTCCAAACTATAATCGTAGATTCGGCCCTACTCAGAGTTGGTTTTAGATGGAGATGGTGTTTTTTCCAAACCTTGCGGCAAAGCAGTAAGTTTTTTAGAATATGTTTTCAGTCCTTAGACTAAAGTCAAAGAGAACCAAATAAAAAAATATGTTTTGCATAATTATTTGTTTTCAATGTTTTTTTTTATAGATTTCGAGCACAAAGAAACATCTTATTGACCAACATTGCAGAACGCCTCTTCACAAAAGAAATTGTGAAAAAAGAAACTCAACCAGTGTAACCCAAACATCAATGCGAGAAACTTTATCTGCTAATACAACCAAGAATGAAGAGGAAACATTCAAGTTCGATTTATGCCAGGCTATGCTTTCTTCGAACATTCCATTAAATAAGTTAAGTAATCCTACATTTAATTCATTTTTGGAAAAATACCGTAAAAGGGCCATTCCAGGCGAAAGCACTCTCAAGAAAACAACTGTAGATAAATGTTATACCGAAACTGTTGCTAAAATTAAGACACGTTTGCAAAATAACTTTATTTACTTTGTTGTTGGCGAAAAAACAGATGTGTAGTTACTAGATATCTGCTTAATATATATACATGTTTCGGAATGCTTTATTTTTATTAGTTAATTATGTAAAGTGCTTTTCAGTTCGTTTTACAAAATGGCATGTCAATTTGAAAATTAACGTTTCTGACAGAGCAACACCAAAAAACATTTAAAAACATACATATCGAGTATTATATAGCTCTATTTTATATTTATTATTTATATTTGTGTTGCAAGTAAATAGCATATTCATAAACAAAAGATGCTGAGTCTTAAAAAAATTTCTTCCCTCTCTTAAATCTTGCACAAGTGAGATGACGCCAATAGTGAGTTGCTTATAATTTTTTTTTTCATGTTATATTTCCATGTAATTATATTTATTTATAATTTTATTTTTATACGTCCATAACGACCTGCATTTTATAAAACAGAACAAGAGACTTAATACATATAGTTTATGATCAGAATTAAAGAATGTCCCATCTAACAGGTAACACGAATTAAGACTAGTAATGAGACATTATTTTTTAACCTCTGCCTATGCGTCACTACCAAAAAGGAACAATTATACATATACAGAATTTTGAAATATGCTCGAAAAATAAAATCATATATTTCACCATTTTATTAATTCTAATGCAAAATATGTTGATCGGCAACAAAAGCAATACTAAGAAAAAAATCGAAATTAAAAAAGTAATCTATTTCAACGTCAGCGATATCGTTCTAAAATAAAAATGAATTAAATAATTTCTTCACTTTGATCATAAGGAAAATAAATAATAATTTGAATACGAAACAATAATTGATCGTCGAGTTTTGTGTATTGACTTTCGTACTCAGTTATAGGTATATCTATTTAACATTAAATTTTCAAAAGTTTAGATTTTTCCAATGTAATCTTGGGCTCTAGAATAAACTGGTAATGTATAATTATAATTGAGTATTTTCGTGGTTGATCTTTAAATTATTATTTTCTCAAAAAATTTACTTCATTTCATATCCAATATGTAGCTAACTGAAAACTGATAATAAAGCAGCAGATATGACAAAATAGTGTAGACTTTTTTTAATGTCGCTAATAGAGTGTATGTATAACACCAATACAACGGGTATGTTTCTGTGTTTGTCTTCGTTCGACACCACTGTATTTACAGTATTTAGGCAGGTATACGTTTCCGCCCCTAAAATCCCACGTACAGCATTCTTTGTCCATGTAAATACAGTGTCTGGAATGAAGACAGAAACAGAAACATATCAGATGTGGCGATTCACATATAGTTTTACAACACCTTATCAAAATTTAAAAAAACCACTATGGTATTATTTGAAATTTATTGCTAAGAATTATATGGTCAAAAGTTCGTAATGCTTAATTAGTAATTATATTCAGAGCGAAAAATACAACAGCTTTATTAGAAATACACCAAAGACAAGTTTTTTCATTCTAATAATTTCTAATAATTATTTCTGTAAACTTGTTCACTCTTGAAGTGTTATTTTGTAAGTACCTGCTTGGCAAATTATAAATAGAACATCTGGAGTAATATAGGGAAGACCCAACGACACAAACAAAGTCATAAAATTTTTTTGTCCGTTGTCCCTGAAACTGGACAAGGTTTTGAAGAGTTCGTTCGTCGAATTTTGATTTTATACAGACGTTTATAAAGCGATGATGGATACCAAAAAAATTAGAGAGTGGTTAATTTTTAATTTTATTAAATTTATTTCATCTAATGAAAAAACAACGCTCAACTTCTGCATTTACTATCCACCAGATGTTTGTGCAGTCGGACGATCCCTTTTTCCAGTATTTATGTTTATTGCACTTCACACTCACAGTGAAGCTTTCGAATCCCATTTGGCCATTTGGTTCACAACCACCGAACCTTTCTCGTGGATCCGTAACTCACTTCATTTTTAATGCAGTTTTGTGAAAATTGTGCCATTCAGTGTGGGTTGTATTTACACTAGGTAAGTTAATATAATTCTAATGAAGTAATCATTTTAATGTTTACGTGCTTCTGTTATTTTTGATAACTGTACGTAAATAACAATAACAGTTTTTTCAGATAAGCTGGAAATACCAGCATACTCCCGGTGATTTTGAAGAACTTACGGTGATTGTTTTTGAAAGTGAGACGCTTTGCCATAAAATGTTTCAAAGGTATGTTACTGCAATTTTTTATGAACTAGGTGCTAATGAACAAATTTTACTCTAGACTTGAAACAAATACAAAAAATATGTGCGAAACAAAAGAAATTCTAAAGGAAACGAGTAAACAAATCTCCAACATGAAAACGTCATCAAATCTGACAAGACCATAGCTAAACAAATTTTGCGGAATTAGAAGATTATCTACAAAAAGCAGGTTTTTTTGTAAGTTAAAAAAATACAATAAATTTATATGTACTTACATATAACATAATATTGGATATTATATACAGGTAGATGCCTGCAATACTTGTTAGGAACCTACTAAACATGACACATTTCGTTTAATACGTTACATACATAGTGGGTTGCAGAAAAGTCTTATAGTGAAGCACCCTGTATGTTATACATACGCGGTGACTTCCAAATAGATTCGGAAAAAAATCCTTTAATTGTCACACGGATTCTAAGTAATTAAATTGCTGCTCCAGTTCCAAGAAACAAATACGGAGCATCTTGTTAAATGTAAATGATGCGGCAATGATTTATTCAGTTTCCATTGTAACTAAATTTTGTCTTTGTTTTTGCTGTGAGTTGCTTAGATGAAAACAAATGGCAATGAATGAGGTGTAGATCTTGATATTTTTTCCCCTGAATTATAACTAGATAAAAGAAATTACTTAAAATTTTCTCTGCTTCGTGATGTTGTGGTTTTATTTTCCGAACTTATTTCAGAGTCACTTGTTATATACATATAAAAATATTTTCTTCTTTTCTTATTTCAGGAACTGCTATTGTCCCAGAGAGGTGGTAATGGGAAAAAGAACAATGTGGGGCGTGTATTAAAAAAAAAATTTCAGCGAATTTGCTGTAGCTTGTTCGTTCAGTAGGAAAATTCCAGAATGGCTGGGATAAAAACAATGAATAACATGAAAGGTATTTTTTTTGCAATAAATACAATTATCACAATTTTTATTATTGAAGAAATTACAATAAAGATTCATTTCGCAATAGAAAAAGAAGTAGAACAATGCTGCTCAGAGTGGCTACGACATTCTAGTCAACGCCTGAAAAAAGAAAAAATTGGTCTAAAGAGTTTAGACAGTACTTCCCTCGCTGTCGGAAACGTGACGACTGTATGCCTATTATGTTTTTTTTCGCAGTGGATTTCAAAGAATTCGGTTTTGTAGTTCCTGAGTAAATCAATAAAATAAATTTACGCATTCATTAATTTTTTTGAGTCACCCTGTACATTCAGATCCAAAAAATATGAATGGAGTGATAGATCACAAGTACAGACTCATCATATTTTGTACATTTTAGATACGATTTATTCGGCAAACTTTTGAGTTGACGTCATCAAGTTTTTGGAGGGGATAAGCAAATATATTTTGACTAAACATTTATTATGCTCTTTAGTACCTTAAAACATCTGCAAGATGTCAGAGCATTCCGTTTTGTAGTTCCTGATTAAATCAATAAAATATATTTACGCATTCATTAATTTTTTTGAGTCACTCTGTATATGCAAATCCAAAAAATATGAATGGAGTGATAAATGACAAGTACAGGCTCATCATATTTTGTACATTTTAGATATGATTTATTCGGCAAACTTTCGAGCTGACGTCATCAAGTTTTTGGAGGGGATAAGCAAATATATTTTGACTAAACATTTATTATGCTCTTTATGACCTTAAAACATCTGCAAGATTTCAGAGCATTCGGTTTTGTAGTTCCTGATTAAATCAATAAAATATATTTACGCATTCATTAATTTTTTTGAGTCACCCTGTATATGCAAATCCAAAAAATATGAATGGAGTGATAGATCACAAGTACAGACTCATCATATTTAGTACATTTTAGATATGATTTATTCCACAAACTTTTGAGCTGACGTCATCAAGTTTTTGGAGGGGATAAGCAAATATTTTTTGACTAAAGATTTATGATGCTCTTTATAGCCTTAAAACATCTGTAACATTTCAAAGCATTCTGGTTAGCAGATTAAAAATTAAATTTCAAAATGTTGTTTTATAATTTTGATTTTTTTTCCAAAAATCTGGACGTTTCGGGTGAAAAGTCGATTCAGAGTTGTAAACTACATGTGTAGGACTATGTTATTTTATACAATTGAAAACCCATTTACTATGTATAATTTTGAAGTGACGTCATCGCATTAGTGGTGGGGATGATTAGACAAATTTTGGTTAGCGTTTTACCATCTACATGATATTCTTAATATAAGTACAAAATTTCACAACAATCGGTCGACA